TCTTCATCTGAAGTTTCATCTACAAAATGAGCCTAAGATTTTCAAAATCAGTTGACGTGGAAAAAAGTTATGGCTGCAAAACCAAAAAGTAGATTTTTTGAGATCACTCTGTAAATAAGAGAGATAGGAAGTTGATTCGCGAAATATCTCGAGGTAATGAGATCATCTTCATGCCTCTGTTGTCAAAGTTGAGAAAAAAAATGTTTTCACCATTTGAGAGCCTTTTGAATATTCCGAAATTTCGCACAGTGTCGGAAAACACCATGTAGAGATTTTATGTGAATACCCTTATGTTTCAATGAAGTACCAGAATATAGCTGAAGGACTGGGCTATCGAACAGTGTGAACCAAATTCAAATTGTTCTAAACTGAAAAAAGTTATCCACATTATAACAGGGGCAACATTTTGGTGTGCGACGAAATTAGTGTTGAGTAGTTTATTTCGAAATAATTCTATAAGAAAACATTGGGTTCGCCTCAATAATGAATCTGCACGATGTTTGTTATGTCTTAACGACTGGGTGAAAAACAAAAACATTTGCGATCGTGAAGGCTGATCTGACTGATAAAGGATTTTTTCTGAGTTACCTATTTCTTAAGTAAATAAAATAATGTTAGATTAAAGTTTTTGTTCTGTTTATTTGTTCAGAATATACGTGTTACTTTTTATCTAATTTTTGTAACTTTCGAATATATAATGCTATGTTTTTTTTCTTGTTTAGATGTATGATGTAAGTATGTACCTATTAGGTACTTACTTTTCAATAAATAATGTTATTTTTGTTGTAATTTTCTCTTCTTACTTCTACATTATACCTAAAAAGTAGGTAAAGGTAAATATCCCGTACTAGACTGGAACAAGATTATGCATGACCAAATTGCGATACATTTGCGAGACTCTCGTACGAGACGCGAGACAAGACGAGACTAGAGGCTGGGAGACGAGACTCGAGACAAGACTACATATTTCATTGGCGAGTCGAGACGAGACTTTATGAAAGTCTCGTCTCGTTGGTCTCGTGTGAATCACTACCTGCTTTCATGCGACTTCACCATAATATCAATTGGAGCCGTGCGTGTACTTCAAAATAGCAGTCCACCAAAAGCGAATTCACCAATTATTTGAATAGTGATATTGCTAAATACGAAGGCGTAATAGGCCAACTACTTTAATTATTTTTTCAAAATACTTGGAATCGCAGCTGACAATAATTTTCAACTCGAAGTGACATTTTATTTGCATCTGACTATACATAGTAATACTATAAATGATAATAAATGCTTTAGTTGTCTCATTATAAGAAGAAAAGGCAGAGTTCAACTTGCCAATAAATGTAGGAGTGGGCCAAAATGGACACTTTTAAAGGGAAAGTCCTATTCCCGTACTAGATAGAAAAAAACTGAGGGTCGATGAAAAACTCAATGAGGAGAACCGCATGTCGATATCTGTCTTCGTTTCAGAATAAAAAGGTGTTCTTCGAAAATGGTCATTTTTTCAAAAGTGGCTACAAATATAATTTTTTGGATAGAATCGTCTGATCTCCTGGAAATTACTGCGAAGCATTGGGTTTGTGATGAAAATTGTTCCTAAGATACTGAAATCGGTCTTCCTATATCAAATTCAAGAGTATACCTTGTTTTTCTTGGAGGAAAATTTCTATTTTGAAAATAGGTATATGAGGTGACTGATTTCAATGCCTGAGGATCATTTTTCATGACGAACACAATGCCTTGGAAATGATGTCATGAAAACGAAAAATTTTTGCAAAAAAAAAAAGAGTTTTAGCCACTTTTCAAAAATTAACGTTTTCGAAAAACACCTTTGTTCACGATAGTACACATAGTCTATGAATTTGCCTCGGAACTCTAGCCATTTGCCGGAAAATCGGATAACCTCACTCACCTTCTATTTCTCGCTCTGCATTTATTCACTGACGCCAGTTTTCTATGTTTTTTGAGAGACTGCTCACCTCTTGGACCACAAACCGTCACTATTATTGCATATTAGTATTAAAAATTCGTTTAATCGACACCTTTTTTGAGCGTCTTTTCCGTGCACTTGTGTCAAAATCGCCATGCGGTCACCACGCGCTGTTGCCAGATCGATTCGCAAGGAATCCAACTTTCCAGGCACAAAAATAAAAGAAACAAAATAACGTGAATACTTATTACAATCGTAAACTCTGAAACGATGATAGATATCGATATACGGTTTTCAGAACTCAGTTTGTCATGTGAATTAATCCTCACAAACACCTTCATCAGTAATCTTCTATTCATAGTACGGGAATAGGACTTTCCCTTTAATAGGGTTCAATTTTGGCCCACCCTGAGTTCCTGTGCCACCCAACAACCATTAATAACACAACACAAATCTCATGCAGTGAATTTGGGTTTGAAGGGATATTTTGAATGATCACGAAGATATTAGTGTTCAAGATTTCCATATTATGCTCAATGATATCTTCGTATTCGTTCAAAAATATCAAAGTTGGAGTTCGTTTCCGGTGGAACCGGAAGTGATGAGAGAGTATGACATATCGAAAACATTTCAAATTCTTGAATCTAACACCCCTCTAAGATTGAATATTATACCTTCAGAACTCTGGAAACCACGAATGAATACATTGACACTTGGTATGGTTTACGGATTGATCTCCCTTCAACAGACACGCTGTGAATTTGTTGATAATACTTGGTTATTCATGAGGCGGAGCACAGAACACTGGCACGCTAGTAAACAACCAGACACAGCCTTATTTCGAAATCGGTCTGTTGAATCCTTACAACCCACCAAACACATCCTTCCCCATCATTGAGTCTCTCAATATAAATCATTATAGAAGTCAAACAACGATAATTTATAAAATTTGTGTCAGCATTCGATATTGAATTTTTCTTGTCCTGGGCAATTTACCGACATGAGTCGAATAAAGAGGAAACTCTCCTTGGAGTCGTTTCGCACATCATGGACCACCATCAGAGTTGTAAAATGAAAATCATCGTCGAGGCCTACATCGCCTTTCTCAGAGGGATTTACTCGAGCGTCGTGGGGCCTATTAGATTGTGAAGATTAGATGCTGAAAAAAAAAGAAAGCTATATGATATCTGCCGTTTCACTGGTGGAGGGAACAGGTACAGGTTTTCAAAGATGTAAAAAAAACAGTCACACGAATTATGTTGCTTTCAGCATAACACAATTTGTTTCTCAAAATCGGAGGGATTTGTATTTCGATAATCATCAATACTCTTGTTGTATTACATACGAAGATATTAAGTATATCAAACATTTTCCGTTAACGGTTTAGCCTTCCCAAGTTTCTGGACCGATTTGAATTCCTGTTTTCTGATACAATTAAAAAGAATATACATTTTCTGTGTTCATTATTTCGACAAATGTCACTAATGTCTGTTACTAGGCTACTGATGGGCGATTCTCAGAAGTTTCTGGATGAATGATGAATTCGCAAACCAAGTTTTCTTAGTTGCAGGAGGAATAGGAAATATTGTGGACGGAAAAATGTTGTGACCAAGTCGTATATTAGAAGGCGAATAATAATCTCGAAAATTAACGCGCTCTCTTCGTCAAAATATCTCGATCATTAATCGCCCTCATTAATACACTAGTGCGTCAAATAACTATTATACTAGTCAAAAGACATTAGACTAGTCATGTTGTTGCCATCTAGTGGCATAGTTGGCGACAAATACTGCGTCTATACCACCGAACTATACGCTGGCAGAGTGGTACTACAAGTGAACCACTCTGCTGACAGATGGCACTACCTATGAATAGGTTGGTGGAAAAAAATCCACTCTGACCAAAGCAAAGATCATACGTATCATCTTTTACCCAAGTCAGCGTACCTACATTCAAATCGAGTATAGTCAGGGTGTGCCATCTGTCAGCAGGAACTATACTTGTTTTTACGCTGACTTGGGTGGATTTTTTTCACTACCTATGAATAGGTTGGTGGAAAAAAATTCACCCAAGCAAAGATCATACGTATCATCTTTTACCCAAGTCAGCGTACCTACATTCAAATCGAGTATAGTCAGGGTGTGCCATCTGTCAGCAGGAACTATACTTGTTTTTACGCTGGCTTGGGTGGATCAGAGATTTTATTTTCCACCAACCTATCCATAGGTAGTGCCATCTGTCAGCAGAGTGGTTTACTTGTAGTACCACTCTGCCAGCGTATAGACGTAAAGGTCTATACGTGTGACTGTAGATGGCAGCGCCATACAGTGTGTGTCGCAATCTTTCACGGTCCTACCTCACATCTATGCCACTATATGGCGAAACATGACTATGAAATTATAGTGACTAGTGACTCTATAGCCTTGATTATTTACTATGTCTATAGTCAAGTAGGGACATTTCATTCACATTACCCGTCATGGTTACAGCTGATAATCGCATTTCATTGTTTTTAACCGTGACGTAATTTCCGTTTGGGAACACTTCCCCTACCTGTCCTTGGGTTTACCAACTCCATGGTAAAGGTGGTTAAAGGTAAAATTGAATATTTCTTTACAAATGATGAATGTGAAAATGGAGGATATATGGGAACATTCAAATTGAAAACGAATGGAGTGAATGTCGAAGTAAGAGATACACGAGTATAAACTGTGGAAGTGGGTGAAGTGAAAGAAATAGAGTACAAAAATAGTGAATGTTGACGTCATTATGACGCAGTTGACAAGTTGACTGACTCCCGCCACCTACACCTAAATACTCTAACCGGGCAATGTGAATTAAATATCGCGACTGTAAACGAAATGGGTGATATTCGCGGAGCGTAGAGTTGTCCCAGTTGTCAGCAGAGCAGACCGACAACGGCTGATGAGACCTCTGGTGGATCTAAACAGTACTGTCTCATACATGCTGACAATTGGGGCAACTCTTTTCATCCTGGATCTCTCAGTTAGTTATGAGACCTAGCAGTATTAATTGGTTATTATTCATGATGATCTTTTTATTTCATGTGTTCGTCCAGTGCCCAGTGGCCGGCTACCCAGTGGAGACCATCACGTGGGAGCGCGAGGGGCAGGTCCTGCCGACGAACCGCCGCCAGCGGGTGTACGCCAACGGCACGCTGGTGGTGGAGCAGACGCAGCGCGGCGAGGACGCCGGCACGTACACGTGCCAGGCGCAGAACAGGCAGAGGAACACTGCCAGGCGGGACGTCGAGGTCCAAGTCATAGGTGAGTTCAGTGTATTCTTTGATATGGCGAGAAAATAATCTTTTGAATTTTTTGAATTGACTCGGCCGTTGATGGAAATCCATGGCAAATGTAAAAACTTCACAAACGATAAGATTTCCACAAAATTCTTAAACACACAACATGTTTCGCTAACACAGTAGCGTCTTCAGGTGATACACTGGTACAATGAACTAAACCAACGTTGGCTTGCTTAACTTCTATATATCCTACTTTCCCAACTTGAAGGATTAGGTACCTGTGGACAGGATCGATAAACCTCCATTTTCGGAAATTAGGCACAATATCTACATTAAATTACGGTATACCGGGATTAACTTGAAAGGGTTGATAGCAAATTAATACTATTACCTACTAAGAAAACAAATTCGACAGTGGTGAACTATTGAGGTCTAATTGATCATTAAGTAAAATGTCAAAATTTCTGAGTTTATTGATTTCTAATGATTCATAATGATTGAGTTTCATTCCTTTATTTTCTACATGTAGAATTTCAAAATTATCATCAAAACTATGGTTTTCTTCTAATATATGGTTGGCGTATGTTGAATTTGTTTTCTTTTTCAAAAAATTCATCTTATGTTCATGAACGCGCTGGTTAATAAACGTACGACCGTCTGACCGATATATACCTTTTAGGGCAAGATCCACAGTTGAGTTTGTATACCCCTGATTTTTCGAGTTTAGAAGTTTTGTTTTTATTATTTTTGATAAACCTCCCCAACGTGTTATTCGTTCTATACGCTACTCTCAAGTCCTGTTTCATTTCACATAAAAAAATATGAACAAAAATCATAAAAACAAAATACCATGTCCACAGAATGCTATTCTGATAGCACCAAGAAACCATAAAAATTTTACTAGATTCTTTCTCAGTTAGGTACATATTTCTCGCCCCAGAGCAGTATTCCCTCGTGAGGAAAACCTCATAATTCTCAAATGTAACTACACACTGCATGTCATCGACTCTCCGAGTCCGTTTCCCATAAATTCAGAGTTTATATTCTTTTTATAGATCCTCCCGAGATTTTCCAATAAACTCTGTGACAAATCAAGCGTTACTCTCGGATGAGTGAGCGTCTTATAAAAAGAGTAGATTCAATTGAACGGGAGTATTCCGAAATCCTGAAAGCTTTCGAAATAATAATGCTGATCCAAATGCTGATCTATTATATTGGAATATCAGGTTATGTGAACATAAAGTTTGATTTTCTATGGAGGGAATAAATGCCACAACGTTGACGAGTCAATATCAGGTCTTGCTTTGAAACAGGAATAGTTATATCGCGAGGCTTCAGCCGAAGTGTATACGGTCCCGTGGTTATAATATTTTTTTCCGTCGACCTCGTATTAACGACTAAGTTTAATGTATATGGAATCTTTCATTAATGACCCCTAATAATGAACGATTTGTCTATTAATGCACGATTGTTTTATAGGCAACCAAACATACACCGCGTGCATTCATTGTTTATGCTATAACTTACGGAATCTGCATTTAAATCGAAAATATGGATTTCATCGAAGATTTTCCGTTAACAGGTTCGCCTTTCCAAGTTTCTGACACGATTTTAATCCCTGTTTTCTAACACAAGGAATTTATTTTCTATGTTGATCATTTCGACAAATGTCAAATGTCACTGATGTCAGTAACAAGGCTACTGGGTGATTTTTAGCAGTTTCCGGATGAATGATGAATTCGCGAACCAAGTTTTCTTCATTGCAGGAAAAATGAGAAATATAGTCGACGTAAAAATTTTGTAACCAACTTGTATATATTAAAAGGCGATTAATACACTAGTTGGTTAAATAACTATTACTACCAAGGAGTATATTAAATTTTTTTCACCACTATAGCAATATATATTTCAATCATTATAGTTCTGTGAAACTGAAATATGAGTCTTTGGTCACTGTGAAAGCACTTCTTTTCAATTGTAATCGAAATCTAGTAGCCATATGACCATGATACAGGATATAACAAGTCATTATTGATAAATGCCTACTAGATTCGAGTGCCATTCTTGCATCAGAACAGTGAATTCGGGTTAATTATAACAAGGGTGGCTATATATAAAACCTACTATTATTTATTCGAGTTCCTCCTCCCCTTAAAACGATATGGCGAGAGTCAGAGCATCTCGCTTGTGACCTTGTGAGAATTCGCCGTGCTGACAAGTTTGATATCGCTATCAGTCTTGATAATGACTGACTTATTATCTATTGAAGGTATTGTTTGATTAACGCTGCAGAAGGTTATACACGAATAATATGAAATTAAATGCAATTGTTCAAAAGCTAATGCGATCTCACAGAAAACTATGGCGTCGATTTGAACGTTTATGTTTGTCATGTCAAAATACCCTGACAGATGAGTGCAATAATAATTGTATTGCAGTAGTGCAATAAAGAACCATTTTTTCTAATAAAAATAGTTCAATAAAGTTTTATTTAATGCATGAACGTAGAAACAAACATAAAATGCCTTCGATATATTTCCCAGTGCCGCCCAAGATATACTGTCAATCAACCCGATGACGGGGAGGTGACCTGATGCCCATCTCCTTCCGTTGTGGGAGCGCGATTAAGCTAGAAAAATAAGCCAATTCCTTCAAAATAGCCGAGTGTTCGGCAATTTTTTGAATTAACTAGTTAGTTACTTCGAAAAACTTATCATGCCAAAAACCCGCTCACGCGATTGAGCTATTCCTTCAAGATATCAGAGGAGCTAGGAGTTGACAATTTTTTGAATCAACCAGTTACTTTGAAAAATAAGGTTTCATTCAATAGGCGTAACAAATTTCTGACAAAACCCTGTTCGCGCTAAATAGTTGCGTTTTATTTATCCGATTCCGCCAGCGGAAGGAATGACGTGAAATGACTGTTGACAGTTCAAAGAATTAAATTAGATTGACGAAAAACAAATTTTTCTGAAAGTAGAAGTAGAAGACATTTTTATCGTGAGATTCACAAGTTTATGATCCTTACAAGTAAGACAGGTTCATATGATAATCAATTCTCAGATAAAATGAACTCTCTCGATCTCAGAAAAGTTTGTCCAATCACCATAATCACTGCTCCAAATATGCGTTGATTCATTTTCTAGATTCTTGACTCTATTATGATTTTGAAATTATTCGGAGCCCCAATATACAGTGTGTACGATTTCAACCCGCAACACCCTTCTAATTTGGAACCCTTCGACCTATTTTCAAAAAGAAAAATTCCATAATATAGTACCCAACGAGCTCTATTCGAAAATGTGGACAAAACTGAAGTACTTAATCGGATTTTCGAGGCCTACTTTTGTACGTTTTGAAGTGGTCAAAATTTCAAAAACGACTATAAGGCAATTTTTTCGAAATTCTGTAAAGCCAATTCGCTTTATGCATAGCTGAAATATCCCCATACGTAATTTGAACGCAAAATCTCATATAGGGTGTTAGTTATTCAATGGCAAATTCTGATATTTTCGATTTCTCGAGTCACCCTGTATCAAAATCTGAGGAGTTGATATAACTGGTCATTGTCGATCTAAATGAGTAGTAGTAGTAGTACTATAGGCCACCAAGTGCGAGGAGGTATTCTTGCCTACTATAACTACCTAACTAGGTTGTCATCTAGAACGACAATGAACCGGTGGAGTAGTTAGTCATTCAATGGAGGAACACATCCAATAATGAAATAGTTTTATCGTTGAAACTTCTACAGGGAGATCTCTCTAGGTCAATGAAAAATTCATGAAATTGAAGTTGATAATTTTTGTATTATGATCGATATATTTTTTTCCTGGAAATATAAATAATTGTAACTTATTCGGGGGAATATTCTCGATACATAAAAATTTCCATTGTCATCTCTGTCATTCTATTTATGTTATATTCAACAGCTCTTTATCAATCTAGACGATTTTCGAAGTAACTGGGTGGTGAAGTGTGTGAAAATCCGTTTACTTGAGTTTTCAAAATGATGAACTTATAAACACCGAAACTTTAGTTTTATTGATTTTTGGTTGATCTATACCTTTTCAACTTCAATTTCGGAAAAAGTAATCTCGATTTCAGAATTGGTTAGTTCGATTTCAGAAATGGTAAACTCAATTTCAGAATCGGTGAGATGAATTTCAGAAAAAGTCCATTCAATTTCAGAAACGGTAAGTTGTATTTCAGAATTGGTAGGTTCAATTTCAGGAAGAAAATCCTTATATTTGTTCGAAATGTTTCCAATTGTATGTGAGATTAACAAACCATATTTACAATATTCAACTTGTCAAAAACAATTCAATAACATAATTATAATCTCAATTCAATCCACAGATGCCTTCCATCATAGACTACAGAAGATAAACTATAAGACAGTTCACTCGTTCATTTTTCGACTTCTAAGAGACCTCGCCGCAACCTAGCCGACCGCTGGATTCTGCCGGCTAACGACTGCCGGGGCCTTTGAAATCGCAATCTAATTAGCTGTCAACCGACCGCAACCGTTTGGCGGTGCAATGATTTATAGAAAAGCAAAAAATGCAATGTTGGGCTGTACCGACAAACGGATTTCACTAAGTGAACTATCTAAGCCGAATCGCTGGAAGATAATAGCGTTGCACATGATTATGAGAATGAAAACACATTTGAGTTGTTATCATTTCCATTGAATGATCTGCACATTCCTCAAGACATCGCAGTCTGAATTCTATCTGGTTGAGCAAGCTGTTCGGATCCCCAGCTATGACCCTTTGGCGATGCTCTTGCAAGAAGCTCTTCACTTCTGACTTGAAGGCACCCCATATTTATGTTCAATCTGATTCAACATAGGGCTCTCAAACACCGTTCATCCACTGTAAACAATCTTCTCTTTTGCAATTAAAAACATTTCAAACATATAAAAGGATTTCATCTTCTGAAATTGAACCTACCAATAATAATTCTGAAATACAACTTACCATTTCTGAAATTGAATGGACTTTTTCTGAAATTCATCTCACCGAATCTGAAATTGAGTTTACCTTTTCTGAAATCGAACTAACCAATTCTGAAATCGAGATTACTTTTTCCGAAATATAACTCACCGATTCCGAAATTGAAGTTGAAAAGGTATAGAGAGATATCTCTTCCTGTAGAAGTTAAAACGATGAAACTCCGTATCTACATATAATATACTAATTCTCTGATGCAAGGTCAAGAAGTATCTCGTTTTATTTGTATATACGTCATTCTGTTCCCAGCTCCACTACCAGAATGGAACAACTTAAACGCAACTAATATAGCGGATTCCATTGATAAAACTGGCTCGCACTGAGTGCATATTCTGTATTTCATTGGTAAAACTGGTTTCGGGTTTTGAATTACATTGGAAAACTGATTCACATAGTTTAGAGCTCAGTGCAACAATTCTCGCACGAGATCTAATAAGTCGTGCGAAGTTAGTGCAGTTTTGAAAATGGCGGAAACATTGAATATGAATAGTTTCGAAAACCAAATTGTTAGTGGCAATTTAAATATCATCATCAAATAGTGATGAATAGTTGGAGGTTTCAAGAAAATGAAGGAGATTACTTCCCATAATTCATAATTTTGTTGAATGTATTCTGCAAATTCAATGATGCAGAGGTACTTTATGACAAAAAGTACTCAAAATTATTTCCATGAAACATTTACTTTGTTCTTAATTGAAGTTAAGGAAGAATTTCAGGATGCGGACAAGTTATAAACAAAGACAAACCAACTTATCCAATTTAACCTCCGACAATAATTTTATTACAATATTATATTTCGTATTCCATTGGGGATGCACCAGTTCACATTTTGGAGAGAACTAACGTAGTGCGGGTGCAAAACTGGTGCCCCAGAGGCGGACTGGGGGGCCAGGCGGTCGGGCGATCGCCCGATGGGCTGGGGCCCTTTGGGACCGGTAGAAATAGTGAATGAATAAAGAAATATATGTCTTCTCGACAGCTTTCTGAAGTATGAGACCATTATAACTGCAATTTTGATTTGAGAAATCTTCAATTTCACCACTCATCTTTCGAGCTAACTACGAATATCAGGTACCAATGGATATTTTAGAAGAATACCGAATCGTCGAAAAAACCATGAAATCCTTGAAAAAATATCGCGAGAATATGATGTCATTTTGATTGATGCACATACATTCATTGATAAAGCAAATGAACAATTCATTTTCAAAGAACACGGAATAAAAACACTTTTTTTGATGAGATAGGTGATGATGAAGCACCTCAAAATCCCATCAAGAAATTCAAAATTGGGACTTTTAATGTAATCATTGATAATTATTATTATCACCGCACTGGAATTTAGATTCAAGAAACATAAAGAATTGTTTCATATGATTCTGAACTATTTGATCCGTCAAGATTCACTGATGATATGCTGATGATCAAATAATATTGACTGAAAACTCAATAAGGACCTTGATTATTTACACTAATACTCAATGATAAGGATGATTTATGAAAATATCAAAAATTATTATCCTGCTGATGAAATAAGCCGTGATTGATTTCACCTCGAAGTGGGAAGACTGTCGAGTACTTTATCCGAAGATATGATGGGTGGTGGAACTTATGTTTTCGATGTAGCAGAGGAATTGATTTCATAAAAACAGAAGTTTCACAAAACTTTTTCACTTTGTTGCTTCCATGGTTTGCACAAATACAATCTATAGGTCGAGATCTATCCATATTTAGATAAAATTATTCTCACCCTTTCAGTATCGCAGGTTTGGTGTGAAAGATCTTTCTCAAAATTAAAATTCATCTTGATTAGGCTAAGAAATTATCTGAGCCATGAACATTTTTGGGGGCTTTCTTGATGATGAGCTGCGAAATAACGATTTTACAATCAATAGGAAGCGACTATATCATTTCCGATTTCGTTGAAAAATGTGGATCCATGAGAGGTTCACTCGTTTTTTAATTTCGATTCCTAATGCGGCTTATGTTTCATTTTGGATATATAATCTTCCTAGTCTTTCTGTAGCTTTAATATTATTTACTAAGTGCCTTATGTTTCTCTATACCATAGAATTATCGTTCGTTCTATCTATTCTAATTTTTCATTTATAAAATGTTATTCATGTAATACATTTCATTGTCCTTCAGTATATTTGATGTATTATCGACAATTTTTTTCGCTTAAGTTTGATTGGAAACAAAATAATTTGTAATTTTTTTTTTCGTTTTTGTCTATGTCACTAAAATATGTGAGGAAATTATATGAATAGCTATATAAGCGTTGACATTTTCTCCGGAGGAGGGCCGGTAGGGTTCAATTCGCCAGGGCCGATTCAAAGGTCCAGTCCGCCCCTGGAAACCAGTGCACCACCAGGTTTACGAATGGACTTTGCAATAACACTCCGATGTTTTTCAGTGCCGCCCAAGATCCTGCCCATCAACCCGATGACAGACCTGCTGCGCGAAGGCATGCGCGCCGCCATCACCTGCCAGATCATGGAGGGCGACCTGCCCATCTCCTTCCGGTGGGAGCGCGACGGCCGCGCTGTGGCGACCGGCGCCGCCGTCGGGACGGCGATACGACGCATCGACGAGTTCGCGTCGTCACTGATCATCGACCAGGTGACCGCCGCCCACACCGGGAATTACACGTGCGTGGCCAGCAACGTGGCGGGGGCCGAGAAGTACGTCGTGCCGCTCACCGTCAACGGTAATTGTCATAACTTAAAGTTCATTTTTTTTTGGTCATATATAATACCACAAGTGATAATATTTTGCCGGAAATATTCGGTGATTGTTACGACAGCTTGTTGCCTAGTAATTTCGTGAATGACATTGTTATCAAAACTACGAGCTGTAGGCGAGTAGTTTTGGATCAATGTCATGAGCGAAATTAGAGCAGCAAGCTGGAGTATGTCAATCGACGAATATTTCCAGGAAAAACAGTATCACGAGTTGTATTCGTATGACTATTTCATGATTGAATGAGACAATATATATTAGAAATTGGAAACATAATTTAAGTATATTCCAACTCGAACTGCGAAGAAGAACATAATGATAGTAATGAAATACAGAATTCACTTTTCTAGATATTAACTACCTACTTATAGTTATTCACAAAGTGGAATGTACAATTTTGATAAACAGTATATTTTTATTATCTTGGAGATGGTTGCTCTCAAAAGAGTGTATACAATTACTATCCAATTCAAACAAAATGAATTGTATTTATGTGACATGGAATAATTAAAAAAAAAAGATATCGTCGCCGAGGGCTTGAACCATCGACCTTCGTATCCATGCGCAACAACCCTAACAGTTGCGCTACATCAGTTAGTAATTATATCAGTCAGTCACAATAACTTGAGTAATTGAAGAAGATTACTTCAAAAAGGAATTTGAATTCTATTATTGTTGTGTCAGACCGTTAACAATATGCAAACTTTTCAAATTACACATGAAGCGTCCAGCCAGAACAAAATTGTTTCGCCTTTCGTACAAAATATCTCACTAACGCGAATTATAAGTAAATAAAATAAAGTAGGAACTTAGGTTATTGTCTCAGATTTGAATCCAAAGCAATCTTGACCAGACACGATGTCAAAATTTTATCGCTGATAAACGAGGTTAGTTGGTCACGTGTGGGTCGATTCGGCTTCTGTATTGGTAGAGCAAGTCCGATAAGATTCAATAAACAAAAAATATCGCTAGAATACAGAAGAAACCATGAAAATGGTCGATTCTGATTGGTTCTCGAGATCAAGAGTGGAATAGTCTATGATAAATTGATATTCATCATACAGGACGTAGAAAGAAATTCGGAATTGAGGAACCGAATCACGAATCTGCGATTGAGTTCTATAAAAATAACAAGTTTCCATCGTTCAAGTTTGAACCCCTTGATTGGTAAAAGTATTGAAAAGGAAAAAGGAAACTGAAGTAAAATTGTCAAATTGTCAAAAAGTAAGGTTTGAAGATTTTATTCCGAGTTTCATTCTTAGTTCCTCCACGCTGGACTGTAGAACCTTCAGATGCAAGTGTAGCAGCTACTCAAGAGGCTACCATACATTGTCAAGCCGAAGGATATCCAAAGCCAGTCGTTACTTGGAGAAAAGCAGTTGGTGAGTTACAATAACAATGAATGAAAAACAAATTTTGTTTTTCAAGATGCGATAACTTCTCTGTAAATTATTGTAATCAGCAATGATTAGATTGTTTGTGGTATAATAATAATTACAGTTTTCACGATCTTGGCAGATCATTCATAATGGGATGTGTCTAGTCAATATGTTATCACTTGCTTAGAATCGTATTTTTACGGGCATTTTGCACAAGAGATGGAGGAAACTGTCGTCGGACTACGTCTTCCGAACTGCTGAACACCTGGTAGAACAAGGTGGATGACAGTGAGTGACGTAAGCGGAATAAGAACCGTCTTCTCCCCCAATAGTTTTGGTGTTCATAAATATCATTCTTACTTATTACGACATATCCCATTGCCTATGGAGGATAACACTAGTCAACCTAAGATGGTACGAACAAGGTCAAGCCGCGTATCGGCTATTTGGCCTTCTAAGGACAATTCATCTTCCCCTGAAGGGTTCCGGGGGTTTCGTCCAGAGAAATCTTTTTGTGCACAGGCTTCAGGGCTTTGCCATACAGAAGCACCGAGATAAAACGGTTACTTGATTCCATATACCAACTCAGGAATGTCTGGAAATAACATTTCCTTCAATATTATTTGTAAAGTTCTGCGAATAATCCAGAAGTGCACCCTTGCAGCACCTCTGGAATTGACTTATCTAAAAAATCACGAAATAACTGTTCCGAGATGTTGACTGGGGCAATTGATCGGAATGAAGGATATGTTATTCAACTATAGCACATAATTGTAGCAGCATCAATGTGAACAACGATTTCACAAAATTTTCGAAAAACTTTCATTTTATTGTTGTTGTCGAAATTGCTGCTGCTCTTAAATTCAGGTGGATATTTTATCCAGGAATGAGTTCGATCATGTAGTGCATGGTTTGAATATCGCCTGAACATTGTTGAATCCGCAGAAATGGAACAGGAGATTGAAAAATATCAATATTTCACATCCTGTATAAGAAAGGTCTAAATTTTCAAAACCAATTCGAGATATTGACTTGAAGTTTTGAGAAAGAGAATTTGCAGAAGGATATGGAGAAAATTCTGGAGAATACGGGAGCTACTATACTTTTTATTTTTTGTAACACCATCATTTTTGACCACTTGTTATGTCATAGCTGGAGAACATCAATGAGTTTTGATCAATGAATGTTGAACCAAAAGGACGCATCTTCTAAATACCTTGGATTCTGATCGAAAATCGGTGAATTTATCGTATCTTGAAGAACGTCAGAAATTTGAGTGGTCCACTTGTTTTTTTGAGCACTGCAGTTCGAGAACATGGAAACTTATTTTTCAAGATGTCCTCACATTTTTGTTTAGGGGAACAACCTGGTGAGTACAAGGACTTCCTTTTCGAACCCAATGTACAACAGTACCAGAACGGTTCCCTCAATTTTGCCCACATATCCAAAGAAAACGAAGGGCAGTATCTTTGCGAGGCCAAGAACAATATAGGAGCTGGAGTGAGCAAAGTTATATCTTTGAAGGTCAATGGTAGGTGTTGTATAATATATTCAACTACGAATGAATCATCAAGATCGAATTTGTTGCAGCGCCAGCTCATTTTTCGCAAAAATCGAAGCAAATTCAAGTTGTGAAAGGAGAACCTGCTCATTTACAATGTTCTGCGTTGGGTGATACTCCAATGGAAATCAATTGGAAAGTTGGAGGACAACACATATCAAAAGATGGAGATCAAAGGTTATTATCGAATTCATAATCTAAAGAAACATTGACCTAATTTCTATGGAATAAAATACGTTGCAGTACTCAATAAATAACTTTCCAAAATCATAAATCGGAAATAGGGTGTATACGACACTCCCCGGCAAAAAACTGTGCCAAATTGATCGCCCTGTAACACTTGTAACTTGTCCGATTCTGGTGAAATATGGACAAAATATAAAATAGATTCATATTTTAGAATTTTAGCATGAATTTCAATTCCAAGAAGAGCTGATGGCTCGATCAATATGCAGGAAAATATAATAAAATATCTGAGCTACAAATGTTCCCGATTCTGCTAACCCGTTGACGAAAATCATCTCGTATAGAACCATAATTTATTGATTTATATATTAAGCGACCCAAAAATTGTCCTCATTAGTGTGTCACATAATATTTTAGGTACCATTGTCTGATGATGGCCGTAGTGCCGAAACTGGTCGACCGACTTTGTGTTGCTTGTTTTTCTCTTGAAATTTCTAATTCCTACACATGTCGTATTCCCATCGCCTTACCGATCGAATACTACTCCCTAAACACGTCTCCCGCAAAAACATGCAATAAAGAAGCAATAATTCTCTCCGATCCTCAGATATTCCATTCGCGAACAGATTCTCGTCGAAGGAATGGTCTCGGAGTTAGGAATCGAGCGCAGCATCCGACAGGACACCGGCATTTTCATTTGCTCGGCTGCTAACGCGTACGGCAGCGACGACATCAACATCCAATTGATCGTCCAGGAAATTCCCGAACCGCCCAGGAACGTCAGGGTCATGGACCAGATGTCCAGGTCGATAGGAGTGTCTTGGACGCAGCCGTATGCTGGGAACAGCCCGATTACCAGCTATATTGTGCAGTACAAACCAGGAGCAGGTAAGTTCATTAATATCTAATAGCGGATCCCATTGGTAAAACTAGTGCGCACTCAGTATATACATTTCTCTTTCTGCTACACGTCAAAATGGAGGATAGATATACACTTAGTGCATGAATACTCCACCAGTTCATGCCCAATGGAAACCGCTATAATTAATATGAAAGCCTCGGCTGGAGATGGGTTTACGTCTACACGTTTCATTGTTGCGGTCAAATTATCAGTGCTGCTCCAAAGGTGGAATGTTGACTCAGTAACAAAGCCTACACAGAATTCAAATAGTGAATATAGATATTCCCAAAATCATCTTCATCTGAGTTGAAATGATATACATGCGCAATACAACCTCACTTTCCGAGATAACTCATTATATAAAAAGGACATATTAGGATTAAGTTGCAAACGTCTTCAACTTCAACCAGTACCAGCACAAAAATAACATAAAATGGATCGAGCTAACTGATAACTGTTGAGAACGCTTCCATGAAGTGCTCGATCTGATAACGATTTTGACTGCTCTGTATGCCTGTACGTTTCTTTGGGTACATACATACAGTGCTCACCATATTATATGTAACTGATATATTCATTTTCTAAAACCCTGAAACAGGTCGATTCATGTTTTTGAAAAGACACTTTGTGACATAAGAAACCCTTCTCCTTCACCCCACACATCGTGACAACCACCCTCTCCCCCAATGTTTTAAAATGAGATAAGGGGTTGAGTGATACCTAGTTTGAGGCATGAATGAAATTCAAAAACATTGATATGGCTGTATCGACAATTGATTTCACATCAAAATGAGGTATCACTCAACCCCCTATTTCATTTAAAACAATTAGGGGTGGTTGTCACGTTGTGGGGGTGAAGGAGGGGAAAATTATTTTAGGTCACAACGTGTGTCAGGGTTTTTCTGTAAAATGCCTAATAATGTAGAAAATGAATTTATCCGTTAGGTACATATGGTGCGCACTGTGTAATAATCAGATAGAAGAAAATATGCAGTCGTTGTTTCAGATGAAACGAACCTTCGTAGTTTCTCGTCCATTTGTATAATTTCCACTTCTACAAAAGTATTTTTTTCAATTTTCAGATGCTTGGCCTAATCAACCTACGAAAGTCTCAGTGCCTGGTTCTCAAACGACAACGACTATTCCAAATTTGCATCCAGCTCAAGTGTATCACTTGAGGATTCTAGCTGAGAATCGACTAGGCTTGAGTGATCCAAGTCAAACTGTACAAGTCAGTACTCTGGAAGAGAGTGAGTCTCATTCAACTCCATTGAAGAGATTCCGATGATCATTGATGTTTTTGTAGTTCCTAGTGGTGCTCCTGTTGATATAAGGGCCGAACCGAAAAGTTCTACAGAATTGGTCGTCACTTGGGAACCACCTGCAAGAGAAACGTGGAATGGAAACCTCCTTGGATACCACGTAGGGTACCAGGAGTATTCTGGCGAAGAGGCAAACAACGTAGCTCAAAATTTCGTTTTCAAAAGTGTGGAGGTTAGGCCACATTATGGTGGCGAAGCTACTCTACAAGCACTTTCAAAGTTTTCAACTTATAGTATAATTGTACAGGTCGGAACTGTTGATATGATTTTTTTTTTCGAAAAACTAATTCATTGGGTTTCATTAGGCTTATAATAGTAGAGGTTCAGGTCCAGCTAGCGAACCAGTCACCGCAAGAACTCTAGAAGACTCGCCTACCCTACCTCCAGAGAATGTTCAGTGTTCTGTGGTTAATGCTCAAAGTTTACACATATCATGGGAACCCCCACTTCTTGAGGGTCAAAACGGTATCATCCAGGGATATAAAGTGACTTATCATTCTGTCGGAGAGTGGTTTGGTATGTGAACATAATTTCCACTAGCATTGAGATATACATTTATTGTATATTTCCAGACAACGAAGACCAACAAACGAAACTAGTTAGTCAATTGCGCACAACGATTTCTGGGTTGAGGAAGTATACTAATTACAGTATGACTGTTTTGGCATACACTTCTACTGGAGATGGTGTCAGATCTGCTCCAGTATATTGTCAGACTGAAGAGGATGGTAAATACCGTGATGATATGAGTCAGTTAATTTTCGTAATTACTCATTTTTTTCAGTGCCCTCTTCTCCTGCTCAAATAAAAGCTGTTCTGAGTGCCCCTAACAAAATATTAGTTTCTTGGTTACCCCCGAGATACAGCAACGGTCCCTTGACTGGTTACACATTCTACATGAGTGTCGTAGAAGATGGCCAAGAAGAAGGCACACACAAACGCGCACTCAATCCAAATACGGAAATGCACGAAGTTATACGAACTCAAGAAACGTCCACTCTTCAGTTTTGGGTTACTGCCTCCACAAGAGTAAGTTACGAAAATCTGAGCACACTGCAATAAATAAAGAGTTCATTTCCAGATAGGTGAAGGTGAGAGTACCAGAGTAGCAACAGTAACTCCTTCCAAAAACGTACCTGCAAAGATAGCCTCGTTCGGCCATGAAGTGATAAGCACTTGGAAGCAAGACATCTATCTTCACTGCCGCCGTGTAGGCATACCCTTCCCCAACGCTATCTGGAGATTGAATGACAAGCCCCTAGAAGTAGGGGGTCGCTGTTCGGTCTTAGCTAATGCAACATTGATTATTAAAGATATACAAAGCGGGGATCAAGCGAACTATTCTTGTAGTGTAGAAAATCAATACGGTAAAGATGAGATTGTTTATAGTTTGAAAGTGTTAGTGCCCCCCGAAGCTCCAGTGTTAACCGTTGTGGAGTCTTTCACGGATAGTCTACAGTTGAGATGGAGCGATCAAGGAAACGGTGGGTCGCCAATTTTAGGTTATGTCATTAATTATAAAAGGAATCATGGCGACTGGGAGGAGTTGCAGATTTCGGCAAGAACTGATGAGCATATGCTGAGAAACTTATGGTGCGGCACCAAGTACCTTTTATACATTACTGCCTTCAACAGAATCGGTACTGGGTTGCCTTGTGATATTGTACCTGCCCATACGAAGGGCACAGGTAAGATGGTGGACTCATACGTGCACATGACATCATACCTACACTATTTTCATTTTTAAGTACCTGTGCAGCCCAAACAATCCCAGATGCTAACGATGAACTCTACTGTCGTGACAGTTTGGTTAGACTCTTGGGGTGACGGTGGTTGCGGAATCCTTTACTATATGGTAGAGTACAAGCAGTTTAGGCACTTATCTTGGACAACATCTTCCAACCATGTTAAACCTACAGAGAGAATATACAGCATCCAAGACTTAATGCCTGCGACTGAATATCGGCTCAAAATAACTGCTCATAACAACGCAGGAGATACTGAAGCAATCTATAATTTTACAACGCTAACTGCGTTAGGTGGTAAATTACAGTTTATATCAGAATAGTTTTCAGGAATAATGAAAAATATTTATATTTCAGTTGTTCCGGAGTTGGCGCCGCCAGTGTCACATTCGGGAGATCATCCATTTTATGCAAACGCCAAAGTTCTTGTGCCAATAATGTTATCATTACTTGTTTTAGCGGCTTTGATTGCCACTCTATTCTGGAGAAGAAGTAAGTGCATAGGTTATGATATATATATGTTTATTTGTGGTTAGATTATATGTAATACCCACGTATAGCTACATTAAATCACATACGACCCATACGACCGATACTGAAATGAGTTTCAAACGACAAATTCTTTATGGACTTCACTTGAGTATGTATTTTTTAATGAACTAGATATCAGAATTGAGTGATCTAGGATAAATAGCAGGGACGATCCCATGGTAGGGGGGTGAAAGAGGTCCACCCTCCCCAATCTTAGGCGAGTTGGCAAATTGAGTTTGCGAAAGTTTCACAAGAAAAAACGTTTCATGGTAAATATTTGTATTTTTCTGACTTCAAACTATAGGGATTTCCTACTTCAAACTAGGAATTTCCAACTTCAAAAACAGGAAATTTCGACTTTGTAATTGGAATTTCCCAAGTGTAAACATGAAGGAAAATTACATTTTCAGTTCAAACTAGGAACTAGAAAAAATTATATCGTTTTAATTCGGAAAAAATGAAATTTCCAGTTACAGATTTTTGATATGAAAATGAAACTCTGTACAAATCCATCAGGATTTCCAACTGTGTACTACTGAATGTCCTACTCGTCTCTCATAGAAAATGAAATTTCTTGTATCCCAGTATTCCAACTTCAAACTCGGAATTTCGAACTTGACGAGAAAATATCACATTGTAAATAAATGAAAAGACAACACAAGACAGCCGCGTCGTCATCGACCAAATCAGTAAGTTGTTTGGACGAAAAAACTTCGATTTATCGCTTCCACACTAACATGTCGTGTTGTGAAACTTGTCCTAAACGAAAATTGGAAAGTGCAGAGAGCAGAGGACCAGACCAGACCCATTGAGATCGGCCTATAGCCAACACACGTGTGATTCCCTACGTCAGCACGCTACAAAGTAGTACTACAAGTAAGCTCTCAGCTATGAAGCGGGGGTCGGACATGTTATTTTGGCTATGGGTGACAGCGTTCTACTATGTTCGATGCGTTTTGGTGATTCTCTTTCGAGTTTAGACCACCAGAAGGCGATAACATGATTGGATCTTCATGTACTTATCATCTGGGGTCTTTTATTTTGTATCCATTCAGTAACAGTATTCATAGTTTTTTTTTGAAACACCAACTATAATGTACTGGGGATATACAAACAATGATTATGCCTAATAGCTTCTTAAATTTAGAGCACCTAAATATCATTAACGCAAATAATAGCCAGCGTTGAAATATTTTTTCAACTTTCCACCTCTAATAGGTACAAATTTTCTACAGAACTCTAATTATACTTCGAAGATTTAACTTCTAATGGTGGTTAAACTGAATTCGGATTATTCGGTATTATGATCTCCCATCAGATCTTTCAGAACACAGTATGGGTTACGAGCCACAGGAGGAAGCATCAAGGCACAGTTCCAGTACTATTGTTACAGATCATGGAAGCATATTCACGTTGTATATAGTTGAATTTTTATTTACTCTGTATGTTTCTAGTTTGATGTGTATTGTCAAGTTTGTCATTAATTAATTCTATAAAAAGTCATATCTGATTGAGCTTCTTTTTCTGATTGTACCACGATACATTAGTATTTTCACTATTCTGACCCATATTTCATCCTTCATACGAAGTATTCAATCACCGGGTAGGTGAATTACGAATATTTAACATTTGGCGACCGTGACAGGACTGCCGACTATGGAGAAGGCGAAGAAAGTACTTGCGGTTCAAAGAAGTTCATTTGATCAAGTTTTTTATGACATCATGAATCTATTCAGCGAAACAGATAAGGATAAGATTGGTATATTCAGTAAAATCAACCTCCTAGAACAGAAAATTGAAATTTTGATGGATTTACATAAACAGGTTGTGGATTTTCTGTTGGACGATGAAAATGCCTTGATATCGGAGATTACACTAGCTGATGAATATTCTGCAAAGTATTTCAAAGTGAAACTGATGGCTGAAAATCTTTCTAGTAAGGATTTCATTGCAGACAATATCTCTCAGTGTTCTAGTAACTCCAGAAGAAAGCTCAAATTACCGACCATAGAATTCAAAAAGTTTGGTGGCGAAATAAGAGACTGGCTCTCCTTCTGGAGCCAATTTCAACGAGTTGACGATGATGAAGACATTGCTTTGGAAGATAAGTTTCAGTACTTGATTCAAGCAACCATACCAAATTCGAGAGCTCGTCAGCTTGTGGATAGCTACCCTCCAAGTGCAGAAAATTACCCGAAAGTAATTGAATGCCTGAAAAACAGATTCGGAAGGAAAGATTTTCTCGTAGAATTCTATGTACGTGAGTTGCTGAAGCTAGTGTTGAACAATCTCTCAGTCAATAACAATCTTAGCTTTCTTTATGACAAAATGGAATCCCAATTACGAGCCTTGGAGACTCTTGATGTCACCTCAGAAACTTGTGCGGCTATGTTGTATCCCCTGATGGAATCTTGTCTACCTGAAGATCTCATTCGAGTATGGCAGAGGAGTACATTCTACGATACTGATTCTACCCTCAAGAATCGCCTAGATAAATTGATGAATTTCCTTAGAAAGGAAGTTGAAAATGAGGAGAGGATTACTTTGGCAATGTCAGGTTTTGGAATTCAAAACAGATCCAAGAAGAGAGATGATGCTCCCAAACATCATGTTCTGCCAACCGCTTCTGGATTGATTAATAATAACATTCAGAAGAAATGTCACTTTTGTTGTGGTATCCATTTGACTGAACATTGCGTAGAGGCCAAGAAATGGTCTTTATCTGATCGTAAGAAAAAATTGATGGAAAAAGGATGCTGTCATCAATGTTTGAAATATGGACATATTTCTAGAAAATGTCGTGTAAATTTGACATGTACTATTTGTGGTGAGAGACATCATGACATTATGTGTCCGAAACCTGATGAACCAGCATCTAAGTCAACTGTAGTCAATAAGAGTGTAGAGAACAATTTATCCAATAACTCATATTCTGAAGTTTTTCTGCAAACTCTAGTTGCCAATTTGAATGGTTACAATAAATCAAGGACAGTTCGAGTGATTATAGATACTGGGTCTCAGCATTCATATATAGCGAAGGCAGTAGCTGAAGAAATGGATTATGATTGTTTGCGGCAAGAAGAAATCATCCATGCCCTCTTTGGTGGTTCGAAAACGAATGCTGTCAAACATAACTGCTATCGTATAAGATTAAGTAACCTGACGAATGATTATGCTTGCAACTTCGAAGCACTTGACCACTCTATCATATGTAGCAATGTAGCATGTGTTCGTAAGGGTCCATGGATTGAAAAGTTACACTCTGTTGGTATTGAAATCACAGATTCACAAGAGGGGGCCATTGATGTTTTAATTGGTGCTGATATAGCCGGCAAATTGTTGACTGGAAACCGTTACGAGTTGGATTGTGGCCTAGTAGCACTAGAAACCCTGTTAGGTTGGACACTGATAGGGAAACTTCAAGACGAAAACAATGAAAAGACCGAACCATCTATGGTGATGTCGATGTTTTCGAAAAACGACTCGATTTCTGATTTATGGAATCTAGATGTGCTTGGTATATCTGATCCTGCAGAGAAGAAAACACAGCAAGAAACCGAAGAATTTGTCATGAATCAATTTTTAAATACGCTCACTAGAGAAAATGATGGCAGATATGAAGTTCATTTGTCTTGGATCGAAGATCACCCTCCCTTGCCAAGTAACTATGGGATAGCCAGAAAACGACTCGATTCCTTGGTGAAGAAACTCAATACCGATGGTTATTACGACCGATATGACCAGGTTTTCAGAGAATGGATGAATGAGGGCATCATCGAAGAAGTTCCTGAGTCAGATTTGATGAAAGAGGGACATTATTTACCTCACCGTCATGTTGTGAATGAAAACAGCGCAACTACCAAGATACGGCCTGTTTTTGATGCTTCTTCGAGAGAGAAAACTCAGCCATCTCTGAACCAGTGTCTAGAAAAAGGCATAAATTTGATTGAGTTGATCCCATCCTTGCTGATCAGATTTCGCATGTCAAAATTTGGACTCATTTCTGACATAAGAAAAGCTTTTCTACAAATAAGCTTAAATGTCAAAGAAAGAGATTTCCTGCGTTTCTTATGGTTTGATCATACAGGAGTGTTAAAAACTTATCGACATGCGAGGGTGGTTTTCGGAGTTACATGCAGTCCATTCTTGTTAGGAGCAGTAATAGAAACACATCTCAAAAATTGCCTCGAAAGTTCAACGAATTATGAAACAAGATTAATAATTATTCAACTACTCAAGAGTTTTTATGTGGACAACTGTGTCACGAGTCTGGATAGTATGGAAGAAATCCAGAATTTCATTGAAGTTTCCACAGAGTTATTTGCCGATGCCAAGTTCGACCTGAGAGGGTGGGAGCATTCAAGTATTGAAGGTAATTTTGAAAACACCAATGTTTCTTCAGTTTTGGGACTTTGCTGGCATAAAAACTCAGATACTTTGCAGTTGAATTCAGAATGGTTTCAAGAAATCAATACAGAAACTATTACGAAACGTATTATTTTATCTACTGCTCATCGTCTTTTCGATCCTATAGGATTTTCGTGCCCAGTTTCCCTTCGGCCTAAAATATTATCGCAAAAGATATGGGAGTTGAAGATAGAATGGAACACTGAAGTACACGAAGATATCAAAAAAAGTTTTTTGAAGTGGGTGGAGGAAATTCCGACACTCCTGAGCCTGAGAATCCCCAGATGGTTATTTGGTTCCACTGATGGAAGAAATCACTGTAGTTTGCATGTTTTCTGTGACGCAAGTCAACACGCTTATGCTGCAGCGATCTTCCTGAGATCTGAAACGTGTGACAGCGTGAATGTTCAGCTTGTACAAGCCAAATCCAGAGTTTCTCCTGTCAAGCGAATGACCATACCTCGGCTCGAGTTGTTGGCTGCTACCATAGGAGCTAGACTATCCAAAACTATTACTGACATTATTGATCCTGATCTGTTAGTTTACTGGTGGTCTGATTCCACAGCAGTCCTGTCTTGGATAAAAGATGATACGAAATGGAAGTCTTTCGTTTGGAATCGGGTACTAGAAATTAGAAAGCTGACTAATAAAAATGCATGGTATCACGTTCCTGGAAATCTCAATCCAGCAGACCTTCCTTCCCGTGGCTGTTCCCCAAAACAACTGATTTGCTCGAAATGGTGGGAGGGACCTGGATGGTTGAAGGAATCTCCGAAAAACTGGCCTAATCAAAATTACCAGAGGGATGAAGAGACAATTGAATCTGAAAGAGGAAAAGATATCATATCCACTAATTTATCTACGACTACCGATTCTTCTTGGTATCACGAGAGAATTTCGAAATACGGGAAAATTATCCGAGTACTTGGTTGGATCAGAAGATTCATTGGAAATTGTCGTCACAAGGATGCCAGGATTACAGATGATGAATTATCTTTGGTAGAAGTAGAGCAGGCAGAAAAATGTATCTTGAAATTTGTGCAGAATGAAGCATTCAATGGGCCTGATGATGCTCAGTTGAAGAGTTTTTGTTGTTTCATAAATGATGATGGTATCATTAGATTACAAACCAAGGTTTCTGAGAGGAAGGACTTTCCTGATTTCTGCTATCCAACGATTCTACCATCCAATCATCCCATCGTGAGTAAACTGATTTACGAAACTCACGTGAAATTATTTCACGTTGGTGTTCAGGGTTTGCTCAGTTTTCTGCGAGAAAGATTTTGGATCATAAGAGGCAGAAAAGCAGTGAGAACTGTAATCTCAAAGTGTACGATATGCCGTAGATTCAATGCCAAACATTTAGAAGTTCCACCTGTGTCGCTGACTGAAAATAGAGTACGACAAGCTCACATATTTGAAGTCATAGGTGTAGATTTGGCTGGCCCCCTTTACATTCGAAATGGGGAAAAGGTATGGATATGCCTGTTTACTTGTGCCATTTATCGAGCTGTTCATTTAGAACTCTTGTCGTCACTGTCCACCGATGTCTTTCTGCAATCATTCAGAAGATTTGTGGCGAGAAGAGGGAGACCGTCGACTGTATACAGCGATAATGGCACGAATTTTGTTGGTGCCGACAATGCTTTCTCACAGTTGGATTGGAAAATGATTAATGAGTACAGTACTGTGGAGAGAATAGATTGGAAATTCAATCCTCCAACGGCTTCTTGGTGGGGTGGATGGTGGGAGAGGTTGATCAAAATCATCAAAGATCTCCTCCGGAAAATTTTGGGACGAGCCAGTCTCACCTACGAGGAATTATCGACTATTATATGTGATTGCGAATCTATTGTGAATTCGAGGCCGATCACATATGTGCATGAAGATAGCCGAGATCTTGTTCCACTGACTCCTGCTATGTTTACAAAAGAGATTCTGGAATGTGGAGTTCCAGATTTAGATGCCGTGGAGAGGTCGGATTTGAAGAAGCATTTAAGATACAGGATGAAACTAAAGGATGATCTTCGAAGACGATTTAGAAATGAATATTTAGGACAACTAAAATTATCTGCTAAAAAGCATTCCGAGAGAGAAATCAAAGTTGGTGATATTGTTTTGATAGGTGCTGATAACTCAAAAAGGTTAGATTGGCCTCTAGCTTATGTTGAAGAATTAATACCTGGTCGGGACAGTAAAACTAGATTGGTAAAATTGAAGACTGCTAAAGGATCAATGCTGAGACCTCTACAAAGAATTTATCCTTTAGAATTGAATTGCAGCAATGATTTAGATCTATCTTCTACTCCAGAAAAGAGGGACACTGAAGAGAAGACTCATAGTGAAGACATTGATCATAATAAGGAAGAAGAAGATAAAGAAGATCATGAAAGCTTTGAAGTACAACCTATCACCACAAGATATGGAAGGACCGTCAAACCTGTCCAAAAATTTTCTATGTAGTGGATTGAGTTGTTGAACTGAGTATACAACAACTCAAGGTGGGAGGATGTTACAGATCATGGAAGCATATTCACGTTGTATATAGTTGAATTTTTATTTACTCTGTATGTTTCTAGTTTGATGTGTATTGTCAAGTTTGTCATTAATTAATTCTATAAAAAGTCATATCTGATTGAGCTTCTTTTTCTGATTGTACCACGATACATTAGTATTTTCACTATTCTGACCCATATTTCATCCTTCATACGAAGTATTCAATCACCGGGTAGGTGAATTACGAATATTTAACAACTATATAAGAGCAGATGAGAGGCAAGTTCCATCTGTTTTCAATGAGTTAGCAAAAGAGAACTAAGAGGAACACTGAAGAAGCCTATAGCCTGAGTTTCACTGACCAACTTATTGCTATAGACAGAGATGGAAATTATTTCATATTCATAGGTGCGGATACTTCAAAGAGCAATAATGAGTAAATAATGTGACCGTTATTAACTAAAATGGCGAATTTTTTTACTTTTACTATGAATGTTCGGAAAGGTTTATTACCAAAGCAACCGAGTTCGGATGTCGGAGATTGGTCGTGGGGCCAGTGATTTTTTTATGCTGAATGAGATAAGTTTTTGATTTTCGTATAGAATTTAATAGTTGTGCTAAGATGGATGTCTCCGAAGCTATGAAAGGTTGGTTTATTCTCGGTAGGTATTTTTTCCAAGTAAGAGTGAATAAATCATATCCCAGTATCACCCCATGAACTCCAGCATATTATGTTCCTCCATTTATTGTGGATCAATTTATGTAGCAGATTAGGTCTCTGGAAAGTCTAAATACTCTCTGGAAACCACTGCCAGGATCTAACATAATTCAAATTTGTCAAGTGATTCTTTAGAGGAGTACAAGGCTTTCCATGAATAGCACCAATACCAACTTTTGGTATCTGGGTACGTCTTAAATATCAGGAAGACTTCTATAATCACCAATATCGATACAACAGCTGAAATTTCAATTGATGACTCATTGGCCAATAGTAAGAACTGATCCAATATATGGATTTTTTCCAGAGATTCGACAGGACGAGCAGACCCAATCAATAGGCGAGTCCCCGTCGATGGCCCAGATCCAGAACAAGCAGAACCGCGACCAGCAGTACCTGGCGGTACGCGTGGGGCGGGGCCAGCAGCCTCTGGCGGAGTCAGTCGACTACAAAGCGGAATCGGCCGACTACATCGAAGACATCTGCCCTTACGCCACCTTCCAACTGTCGAAGCCCGCGTACAGCGAGAGCTCCTACAGCGGCAACGTGTACAGCGGGCCGTACCACTCGGTACGCGGCTCTTTTGTTTATCATGACGTTAAACCACCACCTATCGATAAGTTTAAGTTAGCACATGTAAGTTGTTGCTGTTCTTCGTGTACCTACTGGTCCGGTTAATGGGGTTCGCTTAATAACATATAAAATATCATAATTACATGGAAGAAAATATGTGCCAGTTCTGGCCCTTCCCCAAAGTCATAATGAGCTGGCCTTCATGCTGAAGGAGCTAGAACCGTCTTATTCTCTCTACTTTTATCATTAGTTTTCCAATACATTGAAACAAATACAAATATTTCAAGTCTGAGACAGCTCGACGTATACTATCGAATGACACCAATAAAAAATCTGGGGTTCAGAATAAAATTTAGGGTGAAATTTTTTCCACTTCAAGTTCCAGACTGCAGCAACTCTGATTATCAGCTCTGTTCAAATTTTCGTGCGGAAGGCATAATCACTCGGAGTCCAATAATTTGAATTGTTGCAAAGTGGCGAACTTGATTTTTGTCAATTTTCTGCATGCAATTTCTCGTTAATTAATTTGAAGAATTAGAAGAAATCTGATATTTTGTGAATATTTGTTGGACTGTATTATATCGATTAGGTGTACTCATATGAAAAACCATTGTCTGCTAAAAATTGAGAAAAAAATCTAGTGAGCTGGAACTACTGGTCTTCCCTATAGCTCAGTTGAGTGTATGACCACTAGAGGATGTTACCGTATCGTACGAAATGATCTTCACTTTTTTGTAGAAAATTTTCGGAATTTGTGGTTATATGAGTTGTCACTAGTTGTCAGTGTCAAGAGCTGTCACGCCATCATGACTTGTTCTGTATTTTTCTCTAGAATATCATTCTTTTTCAATTCTCATTGTTCTAATAAATTTCTTTCATTTATAGATATAGTTTTGTGTTGTGCTCCCAGTATTATAGTAGTTTATTCTGATTATCAATGTGTATCAAACTCTTTCTTCTCTAATTGTGCCTACCAGAAATTGTGAAACCATCTCCATTCATGGATATCCAAGTGATATTTCTCTGCGACATAAGTGGATACATTCGATATTGAGTGTTATAGGATCATTACAAGTAAGAAAATCAGAGCCCTTATCAAATGCTAATAATCGATACTACTGATTCTACTTCTTATAGGAAAAACGATTCCATCTGGTTCAAGAAAAGGTGTCATGACAAATCATCATTTCCTATGAGAACTGAAAGCATTGGATCATTCTCCTATAGGATCTAATTCCTACAGATTCGAGAATCGGGCCCCAGAGCTGTAAGGGCCGATATGCCAGTAAGGGGGCTCAGTCTGTCATATCTCCACAACTGGAATGAACTATTTTTGAATTTTCGAGTGACTGAGTGACCGTGACCCGTGAATGTCGTGACTGAACTCAAACTCACTGAACAAACTACGCCGCCGTCCGAGACTGCCGAGAGCACCACTGAGGGAGGCTCCAACTCATTTACGATTTTCAAGGTTATGTAGGTTTGACAGGAAAACAATTGAAATGAGTGTTTCTTCGAGTTGACCGTATGGCGGTACTACTGTATCGGCCACAGAACCCTGTAGGTGATTTCCCTTGTTTGGGCAGACCAGATACTCCAGCTCACAAGATTTTTTCTCCATATTTAGCAGACAATGTAAAAAACATATAGAAATATGACGTGCGTTCTTATGAAATTGAATAGGGGTAAATTTTTTATGAAATCATATTAATTTTTTTTTACAGGAAAACTGGCCTCATAATAGTGTTCATCATGGTTTCGAACCCCCATATGTACATTTTCATATTGGTTCCTATGAAGGGGTTTTAAAAAACAGAGGAAAACTGGCCTCATAATAGTGTTCTTCATGGTTTCGAACCCCCATATGTAAATTTTCATATTGGTTCCAATGATCTACCGGAGCGATATTGAACGTTTCAGAATTTGAGGTTGATTTGAATTCACAATTTTCCCGAGGCTGAAAATAAAAAAAAACTTTTCTTTTAATTTCGAATGAAGTGATTTTTTGCGTATGAGGTTCGAAAGCATGAGGAACAGTAATATGAAGTTAGTTTGCAAAAAAGTTCCTAATATGATTTCATAATAATCGATCCTTTTTATCTCAATAAAAAATCACGGCACTGTCCAACAGGATGTTCGTCCCTGAAAAACTGACGATACTGATGGCTATTCATACCCCCAATTTGATGAAGGTCGCACGTCTAATAGTCGAGATATAGAGGGGGAGCGTTTGAAATGAGACACGCTGTAGATTTGTTGAAGTTGAATATTTTTACATGACACTTGGTACAAATCTATTTCAGAGGACGCCGATCCCATTTTTCAGCTTCCTAATGTGATCTAGTAGGCCACGATTTTTTCATAAAATAGGCGCCGCTCAGCTCTAGAAAACACCTCTACTCCATCTACATTTTGAAAATAAATTCGTGAAAATTGCTCCATAAATAAAAAAATTATGATGTTGGCCCGTTTTCAAATGGGTCTCTATGATTTTTTTTCCATTTGATTGCTCAAAGTAGGCAAATACAAAGCAATCTTCGCTAAGTAGCTAGGCTACTAAATCTTCATGTTCTTCAGAATGTGTTCAACAAACCAATATGTACCTTGGATATAAAAAAAGTTAGTAACAAGTAGCCACCATTGCAAAAAAATAAGAAAAATACTTCAACAATAAACATTTGTCAAGCATTAATTTTTGTTGCAGAGTAAAGAACACGAATATTCCAAAGTGAGGAGAAAAGGGGGAAGACTGAGAGACCCACATTCAGAGAGTCAAGGTAAAACAATCCTCTTCATAGTCTTCATGATCACACAGAATCATGCCTCTAGCAGATTTAAGTAAAATTGAACCTACCCTTTTGATCGGAAAGATAAGTCAACCATAGGCTGGTGACCAATCTCTTTGATGTCCCTAGGTATGAAGAAACACACAAATTATATTTTCTAATCGGAAATGAATTTACATCGAACAAGTACTTTAACGACGGGTTCGTACATTATTTTCGAGGTCTATTTCGAGTAGGTTTTTGCTAGATTACTGACCGGCACAAATATCATGGTGTCAGCCCAGTGGGGTACAGAGCTTCTAGTGATTTATGTTTGACATTTTTTCGCTCAAAGTTGCGTCTTTGTATAACCAAGATGAGAATTAAGAAGACGCTCGTAGCATATTAAATATTAACCGATCGAGTCACACACTCTGCTAAGCTTCACATATGCTGTTAAATAAGAAGATATATACACCTATATCGCTTATAGAATAGTTTTTTTGTGGAAGAGGGCCACTGCTGCTCACTGAACTCAAACTATTTTCATCAAGTGAATTACAATATCATTCCATGCAGTATGATTCGCAACAGTTCATTGTATTCCAGAATCTGATAACCTGGGCAGCACTGACTCAGAAGTGAAGAAGATATTAACTCTTCACCTGCCTATTTCAGAGTACGACACCCTCGGCTCAGATTCTGAGGGAGATGCTAGAGCGACCAGTCAGGAGATGATGTCGTTCACTCACAGGATGAGAGGTTAGAAATGTCATCTATATGATAATATTAAACATGTGACAATAATATGCAAATGTCCCATAGTACATTTTTCGATTCATATTGCTAGCCGAAATTGGAAAATAAATTCAAAGCGATAATCACCTAAATACATATAATGGAAATATAGTTATTATGCTATCGACTATCAGCGGCTCTTAAAGTTAGAAATGATAGCCGCTCAGATTGTAGCTAAGGTTTTTTCAAAGGTGAGGCATATTTTTCAACACACAGAATTTATCCAAATGAATCATTCCACAAAAAATCGCCTATATGATAGTTAAGAAGTTGAAAAACCTATCGATGTAATTGAAGTGAGATACACACAAAAAAATCGCTGGTTCTACCTATTCTTCCTACGGTCCTACGGAAACGGTTCGCATTAAAGAAAATTTTGCACATCTCAAAACTGTGAATTCTTATTCAATTATCATTGGGGATGCATCTCATTGCAGCCACGTCTTGTTCAAGCCACATTTCGTGTAAGCAACATTTCGTTGAAGCCATATTTCTGGGCCCACAGTCTCCGATCGTGCATAAACGATGCGATGTTGCCACATAAAATTCAAAGATTCCGATATCACTAAAAAGGACATTGTGGCCCTAACGAAACATTGCGACACACCTTCATCTCGTTTACGACGAATTGCAGCCATATCTCGTTGGAGTCAAATTCAGGATAACAGTGCATCCATCAGTTATCATCAGACTGTGAGCCCCACTGTGAACATTGGTGTAGGTTTAAGCTTTCAAGGATATTTTTCCTCTTTCTCTCGAGACCCGAAGAGTCCCATTAATTATAAAGTTTTTCTGCGAGCGAATGCGCATGCGTCCATGAAGTATCAGGTGATTCATTGGTGACCAATCTTACGATAAAATGAGGTTTGGGAAAAATTCGTAAATTTCACTTGTCGGCACAACTAAATATAGTTACAATATGAAATGTCGCTCCAACGAAATGTAACTGCAACGAAATGTGACTTGGAAGGAGATGTGGCTCAAACGTAATGTGGCTTGAACGGGAGAACGGGATGAGGGTGTACTGCAATATCTCGTTTGAGGGCCACAATATCCATCTCAGTAAAATAAGGATTATTCAGGCCATGTGTGTTATATTCCCTCAGGGGGTTAGTTGATCACGACACTGAATCATGAAGATTCATCTGCGACCGAAGCTACGGAAATCAGAATTCATAATTTGTTTTATAATTATTTTCCGCTAGTCGAGCGCCTATCCACTGCGCCTCCATGTAATTAGTAAAAGTATTTGTTTTTTTAAATCGGTTCTGAATGAGGTAGAAACATTCAGGAGGATCTCCTAGGATGTTCATTAGTATAGACGTATTTTCGAAAAACGGTTTACCCCGATGCATTCTGCATCCTATCAAAAAGCATGCCTCACCTTCGAACACATCCTGTAGTTTCCAAATTGTCAGGAGGAGCCGAGGGATCGTCCTCATCATCCGAAACTTCGCCGCCGTCTGGCAGCGTCGGCAGGAAACCGTACCAATCCCGTAAGGGCAAAATCAAGGCCACGCCGTCGAACAAGCGTCACGTGCGCAGTAGCAGCGGCTATTCCAGCCACAACGAAGAGACCACGTTCAGGTATGTTCAATGTTCATGCCACAGCATGAAGACTACAGCAGCGCCACTCTCCTCAAATTCGCGGTTATGTCTGCCGTTGGTCAAGGTCCGTTATTGCAATCCAAGTTGCCGTCGGCAGACTGATGCTGCTATTTTATTCGTGCTGTGCTTATGCTTCACTCGCATTGTTGTCTTTATGTCTTTAAAATGGCGGCTGAAATATGTGTGTTGTTTGATTTTATAAATATTGGCTCTCGTCATTGGAATGAGGGTGAGGTTTTTACACACAAAATAATTCTAGTACCACCTCTGAAAATATTCTGAAAAATATGTCAGGGAGTGAGGGTGGTTTCAACCTTTCTACAATTTCTTTTGGGTTTCTTTGATTACCAAAAGAAAGGTACAGTCGTATTCAATAAAAAAGGGTACAAGTATTAAACATAGAAGATTTCGGCATCCTAGTTTTAGTTGTGTGAAACTGGCTCAGCCAATGCTTTGTGTTTTTGAGAACCTATGATTACTCTACATTCATTCCCGATAGCCCGTTTTACGCAAATAGGATGACGTTAATTTCTATCTCAAATATACTTGTATGCTTTTTTTTAATACGACTGTAATCCTCTAAAATGCACTTTTGTCAAAAAATGTATTGTATTGTGGTATAATTTTGGCCCGTTAAAGAAAATCAATCTCTATTTATGAGTCTTGTGGAATAGTGGGGGTTTGAGCTTACTTGTGAATCTAGTCAATTTGGACTTGGATTCTTGGAATGTTTGAGTAGATTCAATTTAGAAATTGGAAAGTATATGTAGATCTGAAGTTGAGCAGTCTTTATATAACGATTCAGTTGAGTCTAATCCGATTTTTAAATAATAATCATGATACAGTTTGCAAACCGCTCAATATTAATGGTTTGAGTTTGGTTTTGAATTATTTCGCATTAGTAAGAACGCAAACATTTTGTTGTTCATTTTCCACAATGCGATTTACAAAATTTTCGCATAACAGTGAACAGTACCTGTCCAAGCTGAGCAGGGAAACTGTAGGCCTTGACAGATGTCGCTCGAAAGATTTGGTGGACTCACCTCTAGACTTCTTCAACCTGAAGTCACTGGATGGTATTAGTTTGATAAGAGTTCGGACACAGAAATGACAACGGTTAGGGTTTATGAATGTTAAGATTTATTAAGTTTAAGATCTTGCATTGTGACAAGAGCACCATAGTCGTCCCGCGCTTTTTCATTCAAAATTGTTTGAATTTGACAATACAATTTATGAACGTCAGAATTTAAATAAAATTTCACAATTATACTTTCGAGAAAAAAGCAGTTATGGAAATTACTTCCTGTGTAACGAATTGTGCCGATTCTGAAAAAAATGTATATCATTATTCAATTTTCCCAAATAAATATCAACCATTCGCTTGTGGAAGGAAGATATGAAACGGCCTGGGTGGAAAATCCATTTGAAGACTAGTAAAATTTGTGAGGTACTCATTAAAATTCACTTCTTATAACAGCATCTTATAGGAATGAAACTATATTTTAGGCCCATTTTCAAACAGAAGATTTCAAAATCTGTTTGAGAGAATCTGCTGTTCCATCAATTTACAAAGCAGAAGAGTATTAAGGAATTCAGAAGCGATTCGTAGTATGGGATTAAGAAGTTAGTGAATTTCTTATTATGAATACAAAACTCTGTGTTTTCACAGTTTCAAAAGGTATATTATGTTCTCACATATCTATTATACCAACTTGGGTATTTATGGAACATGAAACCAATGAGAATAGTTATTTATGTATCAAAGGAATTATTATAAGGGCCTGAATCACGCTGGAGGTTATCGTTTTGGAGATATTTACAATTTTCTATATCAACCCATGTTACTTAGCTCCTAGGGCGCTAAGTGAAGTTGCTGAGAACTTTACAAATAAACCAAGTATGTGGTAGGTCTCGTCAAGATAAAGTACTTTTTTCCTATGAAATGTTTATCGAAAACTGATTTGTTCTCTGTATCTCCAAAATGAAGCATTTCCGGACACATAGACTTTATTTCTTAGAATTGTCTCAGAAATACTTCACTTGAAACGTACTTATGTTACTTCCTGTATATTGAGAATACCTACCTTTAATTTCATATTATTATCTTCATGTTTTACACTTATCACTGGAGTACAGTTTCACATACAATAAGGAATTAACTAAAAGTATATCCATGTGTATATTTTCTGATATTAAAATGTTCTAAACATGCATTCTTTTCATTTTTATAAATGTTGTTCGGCTGAAGTCGTGGGTGTTTGTACCCTATTTTCATTGTCCATCTACGGCTATGATTGATTTGACAGAAAATATAACCTCTAAAATCGTATTGGACAATCAGGCGCTACTAGGGTTATTGAAAAGACAAAGAGCAGAATATTTGTCTTATTTTTTTATTCACTCAAACCATCGTATTATAGAAAATAGAAAAGGACAAAAGTTCAGCTGTGTCCGAACTCTTATCAAACAAATACCATCCAGTGACTCTACTTGAACCTTCCTGTCTTATAACTTCCATAAATTTTATCTATCAATTGCGAGATCCAAGCAGTTGAAGCTTTAGTATCTCTTCGAACCACAGACGTTTGCACAAGTGTTCCATATTCTTTCATAATTGGAAGAACGTGAATTTTAGGACACGTCAGTTTTGAAAAGTGTCAAACTGCACGTCAAAATTAGATAAACTATTTATTGAACGTATCTTTCAGCATCTCGCATGCACCCACGAATCTGGTTGGCACAAAAGTGTTCCCTATTCTTTGATATTTGGAAGAACGAATATTCTAGGATACGTCAGTTTCGAAAACTGTCAGATTACATGTAAAAATTAGAAAAACTCATTATTGAACGTACCTTCCAGAATCTCGAATGCTACCAGATTCAGCTGAGGCGCGTTGTCATAAAATTCATGACAAACACGTCTAATAACTTCCATAAATGTATCTATAAATTGCGAGCATCGAGCTTCGTTCTGTTCGAGCTTTACTGTCTCTTCGAATCACAGACGTATATCGGGTTTGCACAAAAGTGTTCCCTTCTCTTTGATATCTGAAAGAACGTGAATTTTGGGACACGTCAGTTTGGAAAACTTTTAAATCACAAGTCGATATTAGAAAAACTAATTATTGAACGTTCCTTCCAGCATCTCGCATGCTCCCAGCTTCAACGAGCGCATCCACCCGCCGAGCAGGTTCAGCGATCTGAATCCGCGCAGTCTGAGCGAGTCGGTGTATGAGAAAGGGCTGAAGGCGCGCGGCATGTCCAAGCTGAGCAGGGAAACGTTCCAGATAAACGTCTGAAAGTGGAGGAAGCGGAAACCGTAGGCCTTGCTGAGAGATGTCGCTCGAAAGATTTGGTGGGCTCACATCACGAGAGCCTAAAGTGTTCGAACCATTCCAAAACCTCATTGTCAGATTGGTCACAGGGAATCAAGAAAACATTAAAGAGACGTAGGTACACCAATGATCACAATGGGCTGACGCCATGCTTTTAGTGGACTAGAGTAAAAGTCCCTGACCAAACTCAGCTTCAACAACTTCATTGCAAAAATTAATCATCAAAACACAGGAAGCCCAACGTATCACGTTATGGGAATGGTTCGGAAGATTTAGACACTTCTCTCACATCACCTCAAGTTCGGTTTGGTATACAAGATGTTCCTTGTACCTTGAGACAGGTACATATCTCGGAAGATATGTAAAGTACTGGAAGAAACAAGTGGACCACTCAAATTTTTGACGATTCATTGTTCAAATCATCAAAATTTTCCAGTTGACATACCAATAAGTGGCCAAAAATATAGTTATATAATCGAAGGAGCTTAAGCGCTCCCATCGTATTCCCCATGAATTTTTATTACAATAGTTGAACATTTAGAATGTTTTCTCATATTAGGTATTTTCAATATTTGATATATTCTGTGGTATAGCCAGGAAAGTAGGTACCAATTCCTGTTCTGTTAAATATTTCAACAATTTTGTTGTTGTTGTTCACAATACGTATTCCCAACCAAGGGGTTGTTTGGACGATGAGGAACGGTGATTATAACCGCAGAATATACCTCAATCAGATATTATCCACAATTCAATTTGTATATTATAATATCGACACATCAAACCCTGAAAGTAACCCAAAGGATATTAAATAATCTAATTGTTCTTCCCCGATTACAAATTGAAACAACTTTGATCTCTTGGTTTTCACAAGTTTTAGAGGTACGTATATGTCTGTCTCTAGTTGAAGGGATCATCCTGTATAGCTACAGGGTTCTCGTGAAAAGGAGGTCAATCCGTTAACCATAAATTCCTTGAACAAAATTGAATGTCAAAAATATAAAACTTTTTTTTTTTTTCATAACTCGAGTAGGTATTTATCAAGATATTGATTTTAAATTCGGTAAAATGCTTCCCCAACAATGAACTACCGGGAAGTTATTGCCCCAATGCTTTCATTGCTGGGGAAATGACTTCAACGGCAAAAATCTGTTGGCCTTCAACATTCTTGTAGTCACTTTGCCAGTGGAGCAAATAGGTATTGGGCCTTCATCGTTTCGTTGACTTTCGTGTTGCCGGCAAAGACAACAACTTTGTTTACTCAATCTTCAAGAAAGCCAATGCTGGGCATTCAACCATGCCAATATGTTCCAGATAAATTAATTTTGCTGCTTTATCTTCTACAATACCTATCGGAAATCATTATCGAAAAAAGTTGACTAGAATTGAGAACTAAGTTCAAATATCTAATAACATTTATTGTCTCTACGATGAAAATCTGGTTTTATTATTTTTCAGATATTTTTCATTTTTCGCCATATATGACTTAAAAAAAGAGAGATCTGATGTCTGCATTCTTGGTTTTTGACCTTGCAGAACTTTTAATGAAAAATGCTTGTTTCCTCGATTTTTTCCGTAAAATTTTAATAATGAAAAGTTTTCTATATGAAAAATGAAACATGATTTTCATATTTTGCCGCAACATCTAGTTATGGGAGCAATGTATTGGGCCTCCATTTTACCGAAAATGAATGTTTGTTCGGTCAATATATCGAGTCCTATCATTTCTGTTTATGGAATATTATAATATATTTGAATGATTTACCTCCATTTCACGGATACCTTACGGCTCATGCTGCAAACTCCATACTCGTGGAAATGCCATTCCATGCTCGTTAAACAATATTTTTTGACGAGTGAGCCCACCTGTCTTACGCAACAGTGAACAGCAATCTTGACAGATATTTCCATCATAACCCGAATTATCTAACCATTAGAACCGCAGATGAATATCGTGATATATAGAGAGCTGAATAAATACAGAGGAATTTTATATCATACCTATTATTAAGCAGATCATATCAACTACTGATGTGTTCATAACTTTTTGTTTGAAAAATTCTAATCATTGATTAACGGACTGCTAAATCCAAGGTGTTCTGAGATGAATCGGGATGGGCACTTATGCGTTCAAATGAAAGATAAAATAATATTCTACTTTCTTGTACAGAGAAGAAATCTGCAATACAAATGAAATCACTGCATGCCATCCAGATATGGAATTTTACTCATCTACTGAAATAACTGAAAACCTTATTTAATATTCAACGACTCGATCTGGACAATGGCTGGACAAAGGGACATATTGCCATAGTCAAACAAAACAGATCATAAGAGACGATTTCCTCATTCGCCTATCATTTCAGGGCGCACTTCAGTATACAGTGTGTCTCGCACGCCAATGGTGAATGAAACTGTTCACTCTGCTAAGTAATTCATTGTTCTAACATACAATCACCACAAGAATTTCAAGAAAATCGCACCATTAATAAATGAGACATTAGGGTGTATTCATGAAGAGCAGGACACACTGTATATATATACAAATTAGATTAATTAAGAATAATTTGCGCATTTACCTAACTAACAATAAGCCGTTTAGATAGTTCAGAAATTCCAAGTATGTCTGGAGATACTCGGAAAACCGAAATTTTGGAGATTTGATTTAATTTTTTTCTGGCTTTATTTATTGTAGGATTTCAAAATGAATCGTACTTTTGCATCGCGATTTTTGTTCTACTACATGATGGTGCGTTCAGATTTGATAACCGACGTTTCGTCTCCCGGCCACCATCATCAACTTTATTTTTTCCATTGGCAATTCAAAATTGCAGTTCATTTTGAAATATAACAATAAATAGAGCCAGGAAAAAAATTTACCAATTTTCAGAAATTTCATTTTTTTTTCGGATATCGAAACTTTCCAAACGGCATATTGCGTTAGTTAGGTAAATGCGCAACTTTTTCCCAATTTAACCATCTTCGTATCTCTTATAGTTCCGATATCCCAATGGTGAGGATCGAACTTGAAATACCCTGTTATACAGGGTGTAACTACATAAGTGTAAAACATTCAAGGGGGTGATTCCTCATCGAAAAAAAGATAGGATCTTTTATATAAAGAAACTTCATTGTATCATCCCATGTTAAGATACAGCTCCTTGAACCCCCGTACATAAATTGTTCCAACAATTTTTTTCACAAATTAAGAATAGAACACCAATACACATAAGGCCTGTTCGTTTGTGCTTCCTCAACCTGCTGAATCAGGGGTATACAAACTCAAATGTGGATCTTGTCCTAAGGTACATAAGATGAATTTTATGAAAAAGAAAACAAATTCAACATACGGCAACCATATATTAGAAGAAAACCATGAAACTCAATCATTTTGAATCATTAGAAATCAACAAACTCAAAAATTTCGACATTTTACTTAATGATCAATTAGACCTTAATAGTTCATCACTGTTGAATTTGTTTTCTTAGTAAGTAATAATATGTATTTGATATCAACTCTTTCAAGTTAATCCGGTATACCGTAATTTAATGTAGATATTGTGCCTAATTTCCGAAAATGGAGGTTTATCGTACCTGTCCACAGGTAACTTATCCTCCAGGTTGGGAAGGTAAGATATATAAAAGTTAAGCAAGCCAACGTTAGTTTAGTTCATTGTACCAGTATATCACCTGACGAAGCTACTGTGTTAGCGAAACATGTCGTGTGTTTAATAAATTTTGTGGAAATCTTATCGTTTGTGAAGTTTTTACATTCTGCTGAACTTGATTTTTTTCTATGACTTTCTTTGTTTACATCATGGCATGAACAGAGCCAACTATGGGAAAAATATCAACTTTAGCCAGTTTAGCAATACAAACGAACAGGCCTATTTAGTATCACTTCAAGTTTAAAAATTTACAAACTGACAGCTTGATACCAATTTAATTGTCACTATCGCTGATAGCGGCCTACTAAATTAGTTTCGTATTTTCGTTTTATGGCGATATGTATGTTGTTCGTAAAATATTTTTTTGCTGCGAACTGGTTTATTTTGGGCAAAAAATTCGAGGGACATTTTTTGTTTAGAATGAAAAAGGTTATCGGAAATAAATTTTTAAATGGTAAACAAATAATAAGACAAAAAGTTACATTGGAAATAACATCTAGGGGTTTCGTTTTCCACCCCTTACAACCATGGGGTAAATCAAATAAATTACTGGCTAAGTGTCTTTTTGGTAGTAGAAAATGTCAGATTAATTTCAATACTGTAACTTTTTTAGTGCTTGTGGAAAAAAAATTTAAAACAAATTTTATGTACCCCCATCAAGGGGCTGTATCTTAATATGGAATGCTCCAATGAATTTCTTTATATGAAATATCCTATCTTTTTTTGAATGAGGAATCACCTCTCCCCAAATGTTTTACACTTATTTAGTTACACCCTGTATATAAATGGAAACTGGGTGACAAAGAAATCATTGGGCAGGGAGTCATCGAGTTGTTTTTAATGTTAGACATTTGACATTTGGTTCTAAGAGTTATTTAAAACCCAAATTGCTTTTTCAACATCACAAGTGGACAATAGTTTCCAAAATGGCGGCGCGGTTTTTGGATGCATAAAAAATTGATATTCATCATACAGGACGTGGAAATAAATTTTGAATTTAGAAAACCCAATCGCCAATCTGTGATTATAGGCATGGAAAAAAATAACAAGTTTCCATCGTTCAATTTTGGGTTGATTGGGTATGAAAGTATTGAAAAGGAATATTCTCAGATAACATGAAATGGATATATATATTTAAAGAAATACATTGAGAATTCGCATTCTCTATGTGATGGAAATATTTATTTTTTCTCGGTATATAAAACATCAGAAAACAAATTCTTTCTTGGGTATATGCCACGATGAACATTGAATTATATGCATTGAACACACACGATAAGAATTAATATTTCCATCACATGGAGAATGCGAATTCCCAGTGTATTCGTATATATATATCCATTGCTTCATGTTCATAATGATATATTTGAGAATATTCCTTTTCAATGTATTATTTCCTATTCTAACTTTCGAAGAAAATTCAAGAGAAAGAATGTCACATTTGAAAGAACTACTATAAAAGGGATCCTGATTCGCGATGAAATCAAAATTTTCGGCTATTTGATCGAAAACTAATCAACGGACTTCGTTCATTTTCTATTTTATTAGTTTCGCCATACACATTGATTTATATGAAACCGGATAAGTGCTATTCAATTGTTTTTTCATGGAAGATATGGGTCAAATATGGGCTTGCTTCTGTGAGTATCCATGTTTAGTCATTTATATATTATACTAGATAAATATTATTGTACATTGAAAACCGTAATTTATATTATTTAAGGAACTAAATCTTCGATACAAATGTCAAGAGTATACATATAGTATGATGAACAACTGAATAACTCCCTGGCTCATGATTTCGTTGTCACCCAGCATATTTTATATTTCATCTTGATGCTTGACGAAATATCCGGTCTCATCGGGAAATCATATTACTAGAAATATATTTCACTATTTTCGAAATGAAATGATGTAAAACTCTTGTCACTGACAAATTATAGTAGCATACCTATTTGAAATGATAATTGTACCTATTTCAAACCAATCATGACTATATGACTATGATGTTGATTCAATTATTTCTTAATTATTTATTTCAATGAAATTTTTAAGCCTTAAATGACTTGATATTTCCACAAAATCAATGGAACATGTTCCTAACTTTTTTATGGAAATAATTGAAACATTCTTATTAAAATTCACGTATCAGATACATGACTGAACAGTAAAGTTAGGTAAGTACTGAATAGGATAATTTTCACAGTTATACCTACCTACCGAAAATATTCCGAATGAGTCATTTGGTCCTAAAGCTGAATAAAAAATAATCATTCTACAATGCGACTGACCACCAATTTAAAAAAAAACATATACCTACAAAAGAAATATAAAGGGTGAATATGGATACAAAATATAATATTGAAACTGAAATGTCTATTTTCCTCCACACTGATATCCATGAAAATTAATATATTATGTTTCACAGCTTATTAGTGTCACTTCAAATTAGGTTCGATGTTTTCCATGTAATGCTAATATGAGTAACAAGTCATATCACCCTTTATGTAGAATAAAACAGATCCGGTATTCGAAACAAACATGAGTTAGAGCATGAACCTTTCTCTTAATTTGAGTACAAATAAGCACTAAATGAATGGTGGTTCAAGTGGTGGTTTTACAGGGTGTATCAAAAAAACCTGACCCCCTTGCTAGGGTAGGTATAACACTGCAAAATAAGTTGGGTTTGCTCAGTGAAAAAATGTCGTAACGGCATCCGTTTTCATGATACAAGGTGTTGAAAAAATGATTTTTTTACACATTTTTCACGATTATGTCGAAACTACTGGCAACATTGTAATGAAATTGTGTATGGATGTTTCTTGAAATCTGACACATCGCATAAATTTGTTTTTATATCTGACTCTCATAGAGGGCGCTATAGTTACACGGTTCGTACCGAGTAGTATAGAATATAACTTTTTTGAGGTTAGATTTTTCAATCCAAATTTGATATGAACTTGAACATCATTCAATTTTACACCAAAAAGGTACTCTTGGTGAAACTCGATACTATGTTCCGTTTTCGGAATATTTCGATTTGAAAATAATGGAGTAGTAATGATGCTGGTATAAAATGAATGTTATTGAGTTCAATTGCCTATTTATTCGGATTCAGAAACAATAATTCTTGTGCTGAAGTTATTGATGGAACAAAGAATCATAAGTAGAAAATTAAGAGATATCTGACTAGAAACATAAAATATTGAATCAGTTAGAGTAAGTGTCCTACGTTTCGACGAATTCACGGTTCTATATTATTTTCTTGAGAATGTATGATTCTTCTAAACAGTTGAGTATCAGCTGTTAGGTAATTTGAGTGATGTTCAATTATGTCTTACAACTCGTGACGTGAATTCACCTATGAAGCATAGACTTTCTGCTCAAGATACAACAAAACTGTGTAATCCATGTTGTTAGTCAAATCTTTTTCGATGTTATATTCTTGTGATTCATTGGTAAATCAATAAGTTAAGCATCAGAAATGTATTTTTGTTTTTGGTTGCCAATAAATAGGTGATAATTTTTCATAATACTCACTCTAATACATAGCTTTATACCAGCAACAGTTATCACTTCATCATTTTCAAATCGAAATATTCCGAAAACGGTACGCAGTATCGAGTTTTACCAAGAGTACCTTTTTAGTGGGAAATTGAATGATGTTCAAGTTCACATCAAATTTGGATTGAAAAATTTAACCTCAAAAAAGTTATGTTCAAAACTACTCGGTACGAACCGTGTAACTAGCGCCCTCTATGAGAGTCAGGTATGAAAACAAATGCATGCGATGTGTCAGATTCCAAGAAACATCCATACAAAATGTCATCACAATGTTGCCAGTAGTTTCGACATAGGTAATCTTGAAAAATGTGTAAAAAAATCATTAACGGATGCCGTTACGAAATTTTTTTACTGAGTAAACCCAACTTATTTTGCAGTGTTCTACCTACCCTAGTAAGGGGGTCAGGTTTTTTTGAAACACCCTGTATATGCTTTAATAATAGTAGCCTTCTCATGATCTTTATATAATATAGTTAAGTCACCAAAAACGTCACCATTATTGTTCTGCAAATACATAACTGGTATGGCACAAAAATGCAAAAAGGCTTCATGGAGTGAGAAATATGATGAGAGGATCGTCTGTCATTCGATTTGTGTTCATTAATAAGAAGATTATAAAAAAACAATCAACCATCATTATAATGAGAACTATACATTGATCAATTTCTTCCATTCAAAATATTGAAAATATTTTTTGAATAAACAGCAATAGGTAATTTGAATTGGATGATGATATCCATAGATAACCTGAAATTTGTATATCCTTCTTATGAATGAATACTCGAAAGGTGCCTTTCAAGAGTTTCGGGGGAATTCGCTAAGTTAACTGCCTTCCCTCTAACTTCCAAATGGGTGTGCCAAAAATATAAGATAATAAAAGTGTGTAGGAGCAGTGCATGTTATAGATTTTATAGACTGTTATATAATTTTATGAAGAGGATATAAATGGCTCTCACACATCTAGTTTTTATGTGTTTCTATTAAATAAGTGGGATCACACACATTTCTTTTCTGTCTGGAATTGGAAAATTCACCATAATTGTTACAAGGACTGTCAGTTTATTGTAAATATATACCTTTTTATTGTAACAATGTTGGATTAATAAAAAATTACCGATGTTGTTGAAGTTTGTTTTTAATATCACCTGGAAATATGCAATCTCAAATATATAATGAGAAATAGAATGAGAATCTTACTCTATAACTAACCTGCCTCAATCATTCTGGGACACAGTCCTCATAGAATAACATTTTATGGAGTGAGTTTAGCTGAATCATGGAAAATCCAACATCTGAAAGAGACCATCAATGAAATAATATTATGGAATATAGGTACACATATTACCAGTTGTGGAAGGATTGTTTCAACTTGCTCTAGTGATACTCTACTTCTGTTTTCAAGCTTGGCTTGTTTGATTGCTCTTGCAGCAGTTTCAATGACCAATATTTTAGTTATTTCTGCAACAAGTTCTACCGCTTCATCACTTATCTTGTTTTTTTGGTTAGCAAACTTTGTTTTCAATGCCTCCTTGATAATGTCCTAGATGAGAAACAATGTGAATTTCCAAGTGAATTTCTAGGTGAATTCAACATAAATGTTATAATTTTTATGCAAGATTGGAAATTCCTGAAATAAATCATCTATACTGATCATGGACGAAACAAATCCATTCATGGATTGGGAAAAAAATGATATTAAAAAGTATGTTAAAAAATTAGGATGAGTTACGAAAACACAGAGTAATCTATTGGTGGAACAAAAATGTGTCGGGAAAATTGTTCAGTACCTATGGTTCAGTGAAAAAAATTAATAAAAAAACTATTCATCAGTGCCGGACTTGAAGTGATAGTATTTTTCATAAGACTTGCATAACAAGTATAGAAACTGTCAATTCAAGAATAAAACAGTAATAATATTATATTATAGCTATAGACACTAGCTCAAAATCTGGGAGAAAAAAATGAAACAAAAATAGAACTGTTTACAAATAATTATTATGTATGAAACAAATGTACTGCAGGACCAATGATACAAATTAAAATGAATAATTCAAATATTTGGTGAGAGAAGCAGCTTTCATTTTTGAGAAATAATTGGCACTCTTTTGAATTAAGAATTCTTTAGAACTTTAAGTGAGTCAGGCAAATGATTATACATTGTTAGAGCTGTTATGACAGGACCTTTTCTAATCTGTGCAAGTGAATCTGGAGGAATGAATAGTTTATTTGCATTTCCTGTTGTATAATGAATCATATCAGCACAAGTTTTAAAGTTTTTTAGATTATCATGAGTGAAGCATAGAGTGGTCAGACACAGCTATAATACTAAATATTTTAGGTATGTTCAGAACGAAACAGATTTATTAATTTTGATCGACGCTTTGCGTCTCGGTTAACTAACCAATCTCACGACAGGATTGAACCTCTTCCCACCTCGGTGTGTAATATACTATTAATAAATTCTGTGTGTGGGTCTCCCAATAAAGATTTTCATCCACATATAAACCCAAAAATTTAACAGAATTGTTTTGTTTGATGTATACATTATATTCATTACCAGGCCTCACCAATTAGCAGATATCAGATTTCCTTGTTATGGGTGTGAATAATACAAAGTTTGTTTTAGATAGATTCAATATCAATACGTTAGTATCACACCACCTTTTCATGTTACTGATACAGTTGGTTGACCTATTAGAAAGGTCTTCATAATTTTTGCTCTTCTAGACCACTGATGTGTCATCAGCATACAGTGTCAGGAGTCCATCTTGAACGTTCAGGAAGATATCATTGATTATTATAATGAATAAAAAGTTGGGCCTAGAGGGGGCTACCTTGAGGAACACCACATTCAATGGCTTCGACACTGTTGTAGTCCAATTTTTCTTTTCCTGCTGGTTTCGTTGTGAGATGTATGAACTGACCAAGGCTAATGCAATTCCTCTTATTCCAAAAAATTTCAATTTATTAAATAGTAGTGAGTGGTTGACAACATCAAATGCCTTTTGGAAGCCGAAAAACATATTCGAAGTTTTCAATTTATTGTCAAAATTGTTTAAGAGCTGTTCATATAACGACATCACTGCTTCTTGTGTGGAAAGATTTTTTGTGAAGCCGAATCTTCCATTTGTTAATAGCTTTTATTTATTCAGATATCTCAAAAGCCTCACTTGAAAGGCTGTTTCGAATAAGGCATAATTAGACATATTTGCCTGACAACCTTTTTTATGGACTGGGATAACTAGAGCAGATTTGAGTTGCAGTGGAAATATACCTGATTTAAGAGATGTTGACAAGAAATGTTAACACCTGGACTATTTCATTCCATACATGCTTCAATATTCGACATGGTACTTCATCTATTTTACTTGAGTTTTTGGAGCAAACTGTATCGATTATTTCAGATATCTCTCCAGAATCGACAGGGGTCAGGAAGAAAGAATTTGAGTTGTTATTTTCCAATTTAATATCATAACTATCATTGACTGTTAAAGATCATGTTAAATCTCCTACACTGTTAATGAAAAAATCATTGAATGCGGTTGCAATTTCTGAAATATCAGTCAGTGTCACATTATTTTCAGTATTTATAGAGTATGGAACTTTCTACAGTCACTGAATGGTATTAGTAGATAACTAATTAATAGTGACTGTAGAAAGTTCCATAGTCTATATTGGATGGTATTAGTAGATAACTAATTATTAATTAGTTATCTACTAATACCATCCAGTGACTCTAGAACTTCCGAGTCTCTTATAATTATTGTTGAGTGGATGATGTTTCAAGTGATTTGTTTGAGGCATTGACAATTTCATGTGACTGAAAGTCTTTCTTAGCAAAAAGTATTTTTTCCTCATGTTTTTTCTTCAGAACTTTATAATTACCTCTGATATCCATATCATTAGGAAAAATATTTTTTCGCTGATGTATTTTCCTCGAAAGTATACCTTCCTCAATTAGGTCAGGTGTAATCCATTGGTTGTATGTTTTCTTTCTAGGATAACACTTTTTTATAGGAAAAGCATTATTGAAGAGTGAGTAGAAAAATTTGAAAAAAGTGTCAGAAGCTATTTTAGAGTTTTGTGAATAAATTACAGGCAGTTCCATTTAACAATCGAAAGTTGAGATAATTTCCGCTCAAACCGGAAGTACGGCAAATCAAGTAGGTATGCCAAAAAGTGTCAATTGAACTAGAACTCACAACCCCCAAATTTGATTTTACCACCTTAATGAAAAAATTATATGGGTCCTTGAACCCCAGACCATAGGATTAGGCAATCCAATGACCTGTCAAACTATGCACTGGTTGGCATACAATAAATCGTTTTTATATGTGAATTCCTATTGGCATCAGAAGTACAAGTCATATAATCAAAGAAAGTCACAAACAGGAAGTATTTAATTGTTGTTGAGATTGTTGTAGTAACATCATTTTATTGATTTTATATATGGTGCCAACCAGGGCTAATGTTGTGTTTGTGAAACAGAAATAATGTATTCTATAGAATGGTTGGCAGTCTAGTAATAGGTACCTATAGTCTGCTTTGTCTGCAGCAAGGTCTGCAGACTTTCACTTTCATAATTCAATAGGTATATTGGACTAGGTACTGTTGGTTCCATGACCAGTTGGTTACCCCAGGGCCACATAATATTGGTTGAATTGGGTATCCTTTCAATTCAATAATTATTTGGTCTGAAAAGTACCATTTGCCTATGTATTGTACCAGCTATGGTCTGGGTATGAGCAAGTGTGAAGCCAACAAGACTGGAGGACATGTAAAGCAGGCCATAAAGTAATAACTTGCCCACCAAATGGCATATAGCAGTCCTATAGGGATGGATTCATCATGGCAGCTGTTTTACCTATCCCACCCCTCTTTCACCCTCATCAGAGGAAACATATCAAAACATTGCTATTTTGACAAGGAAAACAACAGGAGTTCCCTACTAGATGGATTCATGATTACAATTGTTTTTTTTTTGCGATCATGAATAGGAGAACATAACTTGCAGTGATTTTTTGAAAATTCCTGTATAAAATGTTCCACATACTCATTGCACATACCCATATTCAAGTTAGCTATTGGAAATTCTATTACTTTTTAGGTGGATAGAAAGAATCAAAATCCTGTTCAATCATCCAATCAGTTGGATATGATAGTTACAATCATAGGGTGGAACTGATATTGTGGAATATTAGAAATACAAAATTGAACATTTCCATTGTGGCTCAGGAATATTGGGCCAAGATTGGACATGGAATTGGACACCAAATGTGCACATAGTGGTTAAACCAAAGGTGGAATGTTTATCCTGGTTAACCCTAGGGTACAATGTAGGTATGTAGGTATGTAGGTACACTTGAGGTAAACACTTTACACTTTGACATCCCTGGATACAGTCCATCCATTGGAACTAAAAAAATGGGTCACTTCAGACCCTTCAGGCTCTGTTTGGAGACATTGATAAAAACAATAAAAACAGTAAATACAGTGAACTCATTCGTATTCATTACTGCTGTGTGCTATGTAATACATGAAAAATCCATACCAAAAGTGTAAAGAATGTACCTACATGCCTGAATGTTGTTGAAACGTCGTCCATTGCTTTGGGTGGATCCGCCATTAACTCAGGAGGTTTATGGTTTATTACCTTACCAGTCCTAATACTCCTGATTACCATTCATTAAAGAAATTGTCAGGTAATTTCAAATTATACCAGGTATTTTGACAAATTTTGTTCCATAACAAAAATCTGATTCAGTCCATCTTGACTTTTTCACATGGAAGTGTATAGACTGCCGACCAGTCGGTATTGTTATTGTCGGCAATCTATACTTTTTTATGGGTTGCATGTGAGATGTTTATAAGTAGGCTTCTTATTAGTTGCATGCAAGAACTGTCAGATGGCCGATCCTGGAGGTGAAACATTAAAACACAACCTCACTTTTCTTATTTGATTACAATCGATTGAAATAGTTTTTCACAATTATTTTGGCATACCAATCGTGTTTTTCTGCTATTCATTAATTCGCGCATGCCATCACATTATGCTGTTATACAATGCACAAAAATTGCAGCGAGAGACGAAGGAATCTGGTCGTGCATTATGATATAAAAGTAAGTACCTACCTACTATAGTCACTCACATATAGTTTTCAATTTGAAATTTGGTAATTTCTCTGATTTCCCATCGGAATTCCTTCTGCAATAGGAGCTAATAGATCAAACAGGAGGACTGGTCTGACATGCTGACGAAATTGATCGTGTGTGTTGTAGACATTTTCAATCTATTAGCAGTATATTAGCTTCTATTGCAGAAGTGGCAGAAGGCATTTTGATAAGAAATGACAACATTTCATAATGAAGACTATGTGAGATCACTATTCACCTGGAAAGTCATATTCCTTTGTCTCTCACTAGTCTCCCTGCATTTTTTGTGTATTGTACAATAGCACAATGCACAATGAGAATAAGGCATGCTTGAATTAATGTATAGAGCAAAAAACACGATTCGTATGCCGAAATATTGTGAAAAACTATTTCAATATATTCAATCCTTCAATTCATCTGTAAACAGATAAAAAAAGTGAGGTTGTGTTTCAATGTTTTACAGAAGAGTGAGGTTGTGTTTCAATATTCCATATGGAATTTGAACATGGGACCACAGGATTGACAAGCCGATGTCTAACCACTAAGCTACTAACCGTCTCAGATTTTTCTGGTACATATAGAATAAAGAATGTATTCCACTGAATGGTTGGCAGTCTAGGGAAAAAGTATAGTTTGCCGACTGGTCGGCAGCCTATACACTTTCTTTATCTCACTTATTCGGTACAATTCTTCTTCTTATTCTTCTTCTTTCAAATATTTCTAAATATTTTGTTACTTCGCCATCATGCCTCGCTATCATGCTCTTCACTTTTTGTAGGAATTAAGCCAGACTGGCATTCTTTCCTAAGGCACTTTAGAACCTAAAGTAAAAAATCCCTGAAGAAAAAATGTGTAAAAAAGATAAAGAATGAAGAATGGAGTGTATCGTGGGAGAAGTAAGAAGTGAGAACATAACCGTAGAGAAATGATTGTGTCAAGAGCAATGATTTTTCAGATTTGAATTATGTTATGTTATCTGTGTTATCAGTGATTTCTCCAATTCATATGAAGTTTTTCATGAAATAAAGTTGGAATGAAACCAGAATAAAGTGCGAATTCATCATGACTTCAGCAACTATAGAATTTGCAGTTCAAATGACATGTTATTCTTGTGAAGAATCAGTGAAAAATAGTCTACAAAATGTGCCTGGGATTGAGCATTTTCAAATTGATCTCGAAACTCAAAGAGTTGTTATAAAGAGCCAGCTGCCCTCATTGGAAATTATGAAGTTGTTGGAATCCACTGGAAAAAAAGTCACTATTAAAGGTTATGCAGGGGGACAAGCAGCAGTATCTATATTAGAAGCAGGAAGTGCAAGTATAAAAGGTGTAATTAGATTCATTCAAGCAACACCCAATACATGTATCATCGATGGTACTGTTGATGGATTGAAATCTGATGGAGGTCTCCACTGTTTGTCTATCCATGAGTGTGGAGATATTTCCTCTGGTAACTACATGAAAATAATTATTTTCCTAATGCAGTGCCATAAGGTTTCCAGCTTTTGGAATTTCAAGGGTGTTTTGTAATATGTGGGACACAATTCCGGGGGTGATAGGGCATTGGGACATATCAAGAAAATAAAAATCCTTCCATAAGCAAAAGTCATAGAAGGCTTCGTTTGCAAGATACAGGGAGTAAAAGTTGAAAATAAAAAATAATTTTTATTGAAATTGCTAGATAACCCCTAAACAAAAATTCTTGATATTCTGGTGCCTTACTCAGTACCAAAGAGTGATGATTTTTAAAAACTTCATTAAAAAAATATGAAATTTTTTTTAAAAAAGCACCAAGTGTTGAAACTCATGAAGATACACTGTTCCCAGAAAAAACAAATAACCAAATTCAACTCACAAACCCCCTATATATCTACCAAGATATCTACTTACATATTTGACTTATTTTCTTCAACTAAGTTGTGAATAATATCACTCCATTTGGATTTCTTTTGCTTCCATTTGTTTTACATATAGATGCTAATCAATGCCACTGATTTGTTGGATTTGTATTATTTTTTCAGGTTGTGCAAATGTTGGTGACATACTCACCTCCAATGACACTCTTCCTGGTAAAACTTATGGTGATTTGGGAAATATTTTTAGTGATGAGAATGATAGAGCTCAATTTCGGTTAGAAAACAACATTGTGAAAGTGTCTGAAATAATTGGCCGATCACTTGTAATTTCACGGGCTTCTGACAATAATGGTGCTGGTGCTTGGAATAACATTGTTTGTGGGGTAATTGCCCGTTCTGCAGGACTCTTTCAAAATCCAAAAACAATTTGTGCCTGTGATGGTACAACTATTTGGGATGAAGCTTCCAAGAAGTCTCAGCTTTAGTTTGTTTTTATTCTAGGCAATAATGCATTTCCTCATTTTCTTATTCTTTTTTGGGTAGGTAACCTTGAAGTTTTGAATTTTTGATACTAGTTCCCATTAATTTTGAGATTGAAGTCCCACAATTCTCAAACTCTCACAATTCCTCTTGAATTTCCACAATTCCTCTTGTATTCCCACAATTCCCATTTGATACTCCTCTAATTACCAATAAATACTGTAGATTGAAATTCACCAATTCCTTATTTATATCTGAGATTCCCATCTGGAATTCTTGAATATTCCAATATTCATTGAAGTTGACTATTGAACTCTTGATTTGATTGCCTGGTCCTTCACATATCTTTTTTGATTAAGATTTCTGATTGACTATTAATAGATGAGTATAGTTGGAGTTGGAAAATACATCAATTTGGGTTTGCCGAGGGGTTTGCATTTTAAGGACAAGAAATGGAAGGAAATTCGAAGTGATTGAAAGATGCATCATAACTTCTGATTAGTAAGTAATGATTGCAAATGATTATATAACATCTTAAAACAGCAAGAATAGTAGACCAAGTATTTTGGAAACATATTCAAATATATTTTCAACTATGTTTGAGTGTAATATAAACAGTAATGTATCTTTTCCTGAGACTTGCCTTTTTGATATGCAAAATTCATGTAGACAATTTGTGGTCTTACAGTTATCTCCCTAATGTATAATTTTTGAATATAATAATCATATTAACCTAATTGTTTGCTATATACCTCATTAGTAATCAGTAGGATTCATGAAGGACAAAGATTTACCTACCTACCTACCTTAAATAATTCCATTAGAAGACAAAACCAATTGAAATTTTCTCTGTCTCCAGTTTCCAGTCCCAATGAAATATACCAAGTCAAGAGTTTCAGTTTGGCTTTCCCTAGAGGTGTTCATCCGAAAAATTTAAGTTTATTTGTTTGAAGATAAGATGGCAAGAGTGAGGGATATCTCTATTTCCCTCGTCACTGTGTTACAATTCTATGGGACTGCTCAATGGGAAAAATATTATGCATTATTTACTATATTGCTGAACAGAATAATTTACAATTATGTATGTATTATTTGAGTTGAGTGAAAGTTTCCTCCAGTTTCCTACACTCACAAATAGGCGGAAAAAAGTACCGTCAAACGAGGTTGAAAGAACCATAGTGGGTAGAATGAATCAGTCGAGTGTTTCAGTACAAAAAGAGGGCGCTGTTTGCTCCAGCTGCAAGATTGAAGCGTTTTCGCGTCCAGTCGTCTCGCCATTACGACTAATTAAGGAAAGGAGGGCGTTTCGCCGCGCTTCAAGAAACGCGAGAGTATCAGGAACACACTATATAGGCGCTAACAGATTTTGCTATTTTAACTAAACTGTTCAAACACGATTGATTGTGGAGGCACTAATTTTATAATTCTATTTACTTACATCCTCTAAATGTGTTCCATATAGTTATTAGTGAACATACATTTGAAACAATATTTGTCCAAATGTTTTTAGTTAAATTTCTTCATTTTTTTTTCACTTTGAAGTGGTCACTGTAATTGGTAAAGTGAATCATTTTAATTTCTATGAATATGGGGTTTATATTTTGTTATTTGATATTTTTTATGTTATATCTAAGAATTGATCATCAATTTCTAATAATTTGATTTATTCTCAACATGCCGAGAATATAATATATTATAAAAATGCAATGACATCAAAAAAATAAATATAAGAAATTGTTTAACTCATCTCACCTCTGAGTATTTCTAATAATTTGATTTATTCTCAACATGCCGAGAATATAATATATCATAAAAATGCAATGACATCAAAAAAATAAATATAAACCTCGATATAAACAATTTTTTTACTCACTTCAATTCTGAGTATTTTAAAGTCAGTTTCCACGCTTTTTTAAATCCTGAATCATTTTACACCAAAGTGGTGGGTAAAGTGAATCAGATTTGACAAAGAAATGAAGGCCTTTTCCCTAATTTTTAGAAAAAGTTTTCGACTGCAGACATTCGAAAAGGCATCCTACATTATTTTTCGTATATTTTTTGTCCCAATAGTTTTTGGAAAAAACCATGAAAAACGCATTCTGTTCACTTAATCTCGTTTGACGGTACTTGGTAATTGGTAATTGGAATATCAATTATTCTACTAAGTAACACTGATTCAATAAGAGTTGTACTTACCTTATAGTTATAATAGGGGCCAAGTATGTGATATGGTATATTCTTAGGTGTAATGTGATATTGTAACCTGTTTTTTGTTGAAAATATATTCATTTGTTCTTGTTAATTCCTTATTCAGTATTTCTCATGTAGATCTCTCTTATACACCATTATGATATAATTCTATATTTTATCAAGAGAGGAATAGAGAGATAAATGGTTCATTGTTGGAAGACTAGGCAGCAGGACAGGGACAAAAAGATCTTGTGGAAAAAGAAGTCAATATATAGACTCTTTTTAATCAGAAATGTTATACAGGCCAGGTAACATCAAATCTCTGGCAGCTTTCTGGCCCAGTATATCGACAGATTGCTGGCCATGGCCAAGCTGCACTGGTCAAACGTCGGCCCATTGTATGGCATATTGTATTCGTTTGCCTACAATTCAGCCGGCACTGGGCCAATAGTGTCAATTCGTATTATTTTTTACCTACGTCATATAATCGTCTACCCCTTTATATGGCATATTGAAATCGTTTAACTATGCTTATACCACTAGGCTACTGCGAAACTTGAAAGATACTATTACGAATCCATCAGTCAACAGAATTGAAATAGTACAAGGCTTCAATTATATTTGATATTTGATCATACGATATACCTTTGATATCTTGTTGATTTGACGAAGTAGAATTAATAGGTGCGTAGTCTGATAATATTGTAGCCACATTACTTTTCCAGTGTTTGATCTATTACTGTGAATCAAATATTTTTCGAATATAGGTAAAGAGCTGAACTTCGCATTGGAGCATCATTGTTATAATATAGGGCAATGAACAAATATTCAGCTCAAAATTATTACCGCAAAAATGGATTGGTAGACAATAACGAGTATAATTATTGTTATATAACATAATATCATTCTTGATGTCGGACGATAGTTTGCTGGGATCAACCATAAAAAATGCATGAAAGTATTCTGGAGATATATTTTTATTGTGATACTACACTATGAGATTATTTATATAATGGAGTTTGTCTCCAGCGTCGAATCGACAGCGGCTCGATTGTGACTTATCTATAACGTTCAAATATACGGGGTGGAAAAAAAAAACATAATAAATAAGCGACCATCATGCCGTGGCTGCACAACCTATGTCATTCTAGCATTTTGCCGATATCGGTTTGCCGCTGCCGATTCATAATCGCTGCTGACAGCGATGGCCCGCCTATTCATGTTTGCTGGGATGTGTGTTATGATTGTGATTGAACATATGTTCGGCTACACACGATTTATCTAACCTGCCATATTGAAAATGTGCTAAGTGTTCTTTGAACCTTGTTTTTATGGGTCGCCTGGTTTGGCCTATATATGTTTTATCACAATCATTACAACTAATTTCGTATATTCCCAACATTTCAAGTGTGTCCACTTCATCTTTCGGATTGCCTAATAAATTGCCTAATTCTGACTCAGACTGATAAACGATTTCAAAACCTAAGTCTTTGAAAACCTTATCAAGTCCCTTCGTATACTTGGAATTGAACGGGATTGGGACTCTTCTAGAGTTGACACTTCAAAATTCTACGACTTTTCAAGTGGATAAAAAGATGCTAACATAGTTAGCGAAACACGTGTCGAGGCGTTTAAAAAATCGGTTTGGTTAGTGGTAAAACAGTGTAGTAGGTATATTTCGATTTGATAACCTACACAGCGATCAAAATTTACCATACCTAATAATAACTTGCCTTTTGCCTTTCATCTTTAGAACACCCAGCATCTCCATATGACCGTCAATGATATCTCTGATGATGTATCCGAGCTGAATGTGGTGTCTGTTTACAACTTATGGGTGGCCCATCATTATGTTCATATAGAAATGCAAAGTTGAAATATTGTATGTAAAGAACCGCAATTCAACCTCTTATTAAATAGAAATTATGATTTCATTTCAATGATGATGCGCTGTGATGTTGTGTGTGAGGAAATGTGAGGGCGCTCCTGTGTCTACCAGTCAGTGTCGTAGACATCGAGTTTAGGACGGGATTCAAGGCGTAGATACGAGGGGTAAAGGGGATTGGTACCACTCACCAATCCAATTCACGCAAGTATTAAATCGCGAGTGGATTTGATTCAGATATTCAATATATACAGGGTGTGCCCAAAATTAGTCCGTCAAACTTCACCAGCGGCTTTTACGACCAAAAATAGAGAGAACACTGAGTCGAGAAATGTCTCCTAATAGGGGGCTCCTGAAGAGATGATATTTCTTGAGTATTTCCGAAACTCCATGTGAGAAAAATAAATAAATAAATAAAATTCATGTGCCCAATGCAGTGAAAATGAAATCATTTCAAAATTTCAATGAGTAGTGTATAATACAGGGTGGGACTACATTAAATAATGCTCAAAATTTTTTGTATGCATATTTTTCGACAATTCAATCTCGGATTATGAAATTTCACACCTCTTTACAGGGAAAAGGTACTCCTGTTCCGTGACGATAAGATGTATTATTATCCAGTAAAACCAATTTGAAAATATTGTTACATCTAAGATATTATGCATAACATTGCAATGAGTCGTAGTGGAAATAATGAAAAAAATGCACAAAGATTATAGTAGATTTCATCACTTTCCTGTTTTTCGCGCTTTTATGAGATTGTTTGGTGAAAGGAAAGTAGTTGATTTTTTCATAGCCACTATGATTTGAAAATTGGCAACGATATGCATAAGATGTTAGTGCTCTCTAGGAGACATTTCTCGACTCATGTTCATAGGAACTTTTTTTCCTATTTTTGGTCGAAGAAGCCACTGGTAAAGTTTGGCAGGCTAATTTCGGAACACCAAGATACATATGCAAGAGTTGAGAAATGAAATATTGTAATATCGGATACTTTACAGTTATACTCGAGTTAAGTCATATAACCTGTTTGTGAGAGATATAATTCCCACTGATACGAATGCTTTTTTGGAAGTTCC